GATCATCGTCATCATCGGCATCACTTTCAGAATGCTCGAAGCATTTTCAGAATGCTCAAACCTGTGCTCAGGCAGAGCAACGTCCTTGTCTTGCAAGCTGCCCCTTGCCGCTGTCAGCCCTAACGGTAATGCAAAATGAGTGCAGGGCAAAACAGACCAGGCACGCACTTGTACCTGGCCCTGATTGATTCAGAGGTGGGCCCATCCCAGGCCCTTGGCAAGATTTATATAACTGGACTGTAGTATGAGGGTATCGATTCTAAGTGGGCCGCATCAGTTTTGCAGGTTGATGATTTGATGGGTATCTGTTTTGGGTAGTCCCCTGTCCACATGGGTTGCAATATTGTCGGTTGCCCTGCATCCCTGCAGCAAGATCTCCCGATTCAGCGTTGCCTCAGGCAACCCCTTGCCGCCGGGCACTCAGTCGCGCTAGTTGCCCAGGTGGGCTCGCGTGATCTTCCAGATGAGTTGCTGGTTGAGCCGTCACCAGCTGTTTCTCGCTCCATTGATGGTCATGGTTTATTGCCTGCGGTTGTTTGCATCAATTAAGGGATTTCGAGGGGAGAATACCTCAATTGCGTTAGTTTTCAGTGGCACCAACGGTCTGTGACACGAACCTGCACCCAGAGTAGCTGCATTTGGCGTGTCCCCGCAGCACGAGGTGCTCCAAGAAGCTTCACATGCGGCCATGAACTGTGGCTTCATGCAGTCCATTTGCCTTCCTCCAATGCGTTTGAGGCTTTTAGCTAACGGTATCTCAGGTCCTGCGTGGTGCTTGCCACAGGTGCAACGATGTTGAGTCTACCAGTCTTTTGGATATGGTCTTGAACAGTATCGTTTGAGTTAGGCTTTCGGAGGCAAATAACATCATGTGGCAAGTTCCGTGCGGCTCCGATTCCGCCCAGAGAACCGTAGTGAGGGAACAATAGCTTTCGGGAAAGCCAACGTGCCAGTTGGACATCGAGAGCCTAAGCCAAGACACCAGTTTACATTAGTTCGCCAGATGTGGGCTATGATGTAAACTTTTTGTTCGGTGAGGCGGACAGCACTCCAAAGCTACTTTGACAACGGCAAGGGATTTTAACAACTTCCGCTGTGTGCTAATGGCCGCTCGGCCTTGAGACATGGAGGAGTACCCAAGGGAGGCGCGTGGGCTCCGTCGGGTTGGGCAGCCTTTTAGCTGCACCGTGGTTAGTAGGAACACGAATCGGCGAAGGAGCACTTTGCCAACAGACACCGTAGTCATGATGGTCCGTTCCATGGTGGGTTGATATCGTTTGTCGTAGTTTCCAAGGATTGACGTGTATCTGGACTTTGGCACGTGTGAGTGTCTCTTGTAAGTTAACTCTTGAATGCGAAGAAATCCCTGGCCATTGAACTTTGATCCAATTACAGTGGGAACCAACCCCTTCCCCCACTGGGGTTGGACATTCCCCATGGCTGGATGAAGCTTCTGACTGCTCGTTTGATGGGGATGGGCAACACAAACTGTTGGGACCGACTAGTTGGTGAACGAAAGGCTTGAGGTTTGATATTTTCTTCGGCACAACCTTGTCAGGTCCAGCTCTTGTATACACCACCGTGTTTTTACGACACAGGCCCCCGAGAAAGAATTCATTCAAGGAGTTGGGGGGTGCATCAGTGGACTATAGATTCCCATGCGCTGGCTTGTTTGAGCTCCTGCACTTTGCACTGTTTGCAAGGAACATTGTGACAACAAGTTTGGGCTTGTTTCGGCCAATCCACTCAGATTCCACTCAGCTGGCCATTGCTTTAAGCCTTGACAGGTGCCCCCATTTTTGTTCTAAGAGGCTCTTCCACGTGTGCAGTCTCTCACCAGCCATGGCTTTTCAGTGAGGCGAGTTTTTCTTGGCTTGAACTCATCAGAACTCTCCCCCTCAAGGATTGTGTTTGCAACCTGGGTCTTTGAATCAATCAGGGTTTCCTGTTCTACCCCATTTGGGGTCTGTCCTTTTTCTACCCTTGCTTCTACCTTTTTGCCCTGTGTTCACTTTTTTCCTCTCTTCTCGCACTTTTCGACCCTTTTTCTATTTTTCCCTCAAAAGGCCGGCTTCCCTTTCAAACCAACCTGCGGGTGTTCGATAATCATGGCCCCAAACAAGGAGCCTCAGACCTCCAGTGTCGCCATCAACGCTCCTGTTTTCCCTACCTAGACGCTCCTGGGGCTTCCAATGGACGACCCAGACCCAGGGCATGGGACATTTCAGAGGGGTTTTGTGGTCTCAAAACCTGGCTGTTTGAGGCAAAGTAAAATCGGGAGCGTCCATGGAAATCCCCGGGCCCCCAACTCCGCAGGTCCAGGGCCAACCGCTGCTGCTGGTGGCTTTGGTGGGTGCCACCGCCTTGCACCCGCGCCTCATCGAGGCGCTGCAGGATGCCGCCATCGCCGCCTGCGGGGCCCGGCGCACCAAGCGACTCGTCGGAACTCGTGAAAGCCGAGCCCCGGAAATCGGCGAAAGGCGGGCGGGGTGGGGTTGCGGGGGGGGCCCGGAAAAGAAGGGAAGCCCGGAGAAAAAAAGGGAGAACACAAACGTATGCAAGGTTGCGTGAAGGGGAAATTTGAAGCTCAGCGGTGGCCCGATTTCGCATGAAATCCTGCTCAGCAACCTTTGCGAGGTGGAGATGTTGCTTTTTGTCAGGCCGAAATTGATTGCCCATTTCAACCAACTGCAACAAACCACAATTGGACACCACAAATCGCGTAACGAAACATGTTCGGTTGGGTTTTTGTTGGGGGCTTCCCAAAAGCCCCAGGTACTTGTCCTCCAGCTACGACATGCGAATTCTGCCGGCGAAGCGAGGGGCCAAGGATGGGCCCAACTACAAAGTGGAGGGCATCCTGAAGCGGCGCTGGCTGGAGAAGGTTTGCAGCTCTCACTCAAGGCTTGGCAACCATGTTACTATGTGTGTAACCAAAATCATATTATTATCTTCAAAGAACGTATGTAATATTGGTTATGGATCATGTTCTATATAATCATTGAACTTGTTGATGTTGTTTTTGGTCTATGGTAGTGGCATAATGTGTTTATTTGGTGTTCCCTTTTTTCTCTTTTTTTTTTTTTTGGGGGGGGGGTGAGTTTCCCGAATAGGGCTGATGTTTTTTGATTGGACATATTCTCAAAGCCACGCTTGGGCAGCTTGCCACCCGCAAAATCACGATTTGGCTTGGCCGCTCAAAACCCTTGCTCACAGGGTTGGAGCTGCTCACTTTCAGATTGAACCACTTGCTCATACCAGTGTGGACTGTTTGAACAAGACAGAACAGAACACCATGCGACCGTGGGCACGCTTTGTTTGGATGTGTGTGCTTGTCCTATTTTCACTATCACATTTCCTAGGTCAACGTTTGATAGCGTCTCGTGTATGTGTGCCCTCTTCCAGAATGATGATGGTAGCATATATTGAATTGCGATTAGGGCTGAACGCTGGTCCAGGAGTCAGCGATTTTACTGGCCCGAGTCTCTTCTTCAAGTGGCAGGGAGCTTGACTGGTGACTCCATGTTCGGAGGTTCCTTCCCTGACGCACTAAGGCAATACAATCCCAGCGGTACTGGTGCTGTGTATCGACTGGTCGGATGACCTCAGTCAACCGGAGAAGGACAGCAGGGACCAACTAAGCTGCGTGACTTCCATTTTCCGCTACTCTGCAGATTGGAAGTAAGATTCTGGGCAACAGAACGAGCTAACCGACCCATGAAGATCCTCAAGAGATGCTTGTGTCCGGCGCACACGCTATGTCCAGCTCGTGAATGTTTCCAGTACACGTCTACATCCAGATGGGCTTCCCTACTGCCACTGGGCAGTGAGAGGTTTATTTCAGTGGGCTCCCTCTTCGACGCTCGTTCTTCGTTCACATCAAAGGAAGCACGCATAGCAGGGGTCCGAGTGCATATCCAAATGCAGATCCAAAAAGTGTACGTCCATAAAGTTCCTTTGGTGGGGAAACGGTCAGTGATGTATAACAAGGCAAGGTGGTCCAGAATATGAGTTTGGGGTGGGGGATGTGTGTTCACCCGTGGTGCATTTGGATTGAACATGCATTTGGCAATGTGGAGCACGACCCAAGCATTGGTAGGTATTTGGGCAAGTGAGGACGGCAAGTTTATTAAGTGTTGTTTTTCTCTACAAGGGGCCCTCTGCTGTGTTTTATGTTAGCTGCTTCCCTGTGTTCCTGGACTGTTTCAGCTTTTTGGGAAGACCATTCTTGTGATATAGAAGAAAGACCCATCTCTGGCTAATCCACTCCCGGAGGGAGCTAGAATGGCATGGGAAAAGCTTGCGGGCGGCACAGCCGCTGCGCTCGGAGGAGGAATCGCAGGCTCTGCACTACTTGCAGCACGCGCGGCGTCAAGCCAAGGAGAAACAAAGATCTGGATGTTCAGCTTGCCCAGACACTCCCCATTGACCTTCAAACAACCTGGTTTTGAGACCCGCGAACACCTCCGGCGTATCCAGTAAAGGGCCTGGGTCTTCCATTGAAAGGTCCAGGAGCCTCTGGGGTAGGTTAAAGCCGGCTCGCGGCGCCATCATGGCATTGTCAGCACTTGGATGCTGAACCCTCGTCAGGCAAGTAGACAATGACTGGGGTTAGTGTTTTCGGGGCTGCTTCCCCTTGTAAAGACACACTGGATCCTAACTGGAGAAACTGGGGTTTAGGGCCCTCAGAACCATCCTTATAACTATGGAGAACCTGCTTACCTGACGTGGCTCGAACACCGCAGCAGTGTGAATGGCCCCCAACGCAGCATGGCTCAGCGTGTCCGTTTTGGTCAACCCGATTGAACACATCATCGGCCTTTTGGTCGTCTTTTTTTTAGTTTGGTTGAGCTTCAATCAATTCTACTGACTTCAGTTATGCATTTCGCTGTCCTGTTTTAGTTTGGTTGAGCATCGGTTGATTCTACTAGCTTCAGCTGTGTGGATCCATTTCCCCAAAAGGACACCTAAGGAATGCGTCTCCAATTCTCCGCGAGTGCATTTGATGTTTGCCGCTGCCCAGAGAAGCGGCCGTTTGTTGCTAGCACACCTCCTGAAGATGTGGGTGTGGCTCAGAATTAAACGATCGGAGGGGCAAGCCGCAGGTTTTGGTATCCCATGTTTCTACTTACCGATCGGGCAACCCATTTTGGAATTCCGGGTTTTTGAGCCACAGCCATGTGAATCTGTCACAAGTTGCCAAGTTGCCAATTTGTGTTGGGCCCTCAAAGGCGGCACCACACGTTATATGAAGATTCCCAGAGAGAACCCCCCCCCCCGCGCCAGGAGAGGGACTTGCGTCTCCTGGTCTTGGTGGTGCTGCATCCCAGCACTGTGGACCAGGAGGCTGGGTTTCGGTGAGGGTCCGTTTCTGGGTCCTCGGGTGAAATCATGTTGCCATGCGTTACATGTGTACTCAGCATGGACCAACATGACATTTGTGTTTTGTTTAAAGTCAAAAGCAGAGGGGGGGCAGCTATGTCCTTTTCCCTAAGTATTTGGTAACGCTACCGCGTTAATATATGATGTGTTTGTCAAAACGTATCTATTAATCGGATCCTCTCTTTTCGAAGGGGCAACGTGCTGCTGGCCACTGGGTCAGAAATGCAACTGTGGTAGGTACTTGTAGCAGATGAACCAGGGAAGTGCTCCAGGTACCCCGCATAAGGGCCGGCAGAAGTTTAGTGTTGTATCAATTAAAAGTAAAGGGGGTGATGTGCCATTTTGGCTTTTGGCTTGAAGCGACATATTTGTTAATAAGGGTGCATTTCTTGACAGTGGAGAGCAGTTGATGTTTTTGTTTTTTCCTTTTTGTTTTCTCGGAATGAGAAAATGGTCCCCCAGCCAAGCTGTTATGTTTTTGCCGGTTACAAAATTTTGAGGGCCAGGCAAGAGTCCATTTTTGAGGACAGGCCCATGGCGCTTCTGGCTGGGTTAACGTGGGCAACACGGTGACCATGTTACAACCATGTCTGCTGCCTATACAAAACGCCTCGGGGTAGACCATGACAACTGAATCAACATACATATGCATCTATACCTATAGAGATGCATATAGATACTCGTGTATACAGTACAGATAAATGATAACTGAAACAAAACTAAAACCAAAAGCAATACTTGACAAGATAACAAACACACACACACACAAACACACATATACGTATATGCGTAGTATATATATATATATATATACATATGCATGGTAGTCCAGACTTTACATGTACACACATATGTATATATATATATATATATATCTATATATATATAGATATATGTATACATGTTGGTTTTGCGGGGATGGCATAGGTGTATCCGTTTATATATATATATATATATATACATATTGACCTGCACATGCATATCAGTCAATACCCGACCTACCTCAGGGATCCGTACGAGTGTTTCGCCCTCATTCGAGAGCCAAGGCGGCGTGCGCGGCGCTGGTGCGGCAGGGGACTTCGGTAGTGGCCATGGGCAAAGAGGACCTGGCAGCCAAGGCTCGAAGTGAACCGCATTCAATTGACATTCTTCTTTATTGCTATTCGGGTACGGGTCAAAATTAAACCACCAGGGAACCGCAGGTCTTAGTCCTTGTTTCCATTTGCTAGGGTTCCATTAGGGGCACCCATTTTTGACCCACACCCATTTGCTTGGATCTTTGGACTTTTTTTTGGGGGGGAAACTGGACGCAAAAGAAGCTGAACTTTTTGCAGAGGGGTCAACAGCAACCAAGTTGCTACTTCCCTATTGAATGTGTGTTGCAACACCGCTCAAGAATGGGTTGCAGTGCTTGCAACATTACTGAAGGCTGCGCGACCCAATCTAGCCAGTGGTTCGGATTGGTGGTTTGGAGGTTAGGGGTGGTTTTGCACTTGCCCTCTACAACAACGGGCACCACCACCAATTTCGCCGTTGTGAAAGCACATGGCACAGTTTTCTTGATTTGGATATATAAAGAGCTTGACTTGGGTCCTGGATAGAGGAGTTGTGCCATCTACTTTCGCCCAACAGGGGTGATCTTTGCATGGCTGGCACGGTCCCCTGCCCGTTTGATGGCGGCCCCGTAATTTGCGACACATGGGCTCAGCGAGTGCCAAGTTAACCTCCCTTCCCCTCCGGAGGGGAATAAGGGGTATAGCCTTAGCTAGTCCACAACTTGATTTGTTGCAACCCAAGTTCGGGGGATCTCCCAACAGGGTGTGAACTTCTATTTGTTGTGGACTGGCAGTTGGTGCAGGCGGCAAGTGACTCCGGTGGACATGTTTCTTTCTGCATTTTCTGATGCGACCTGACATCAAGATGGCATGCATTGTTCCTTCCGCTGGCTTGTGTTTCCACAATGGTTGTAAGTGCGCCACCATACCCGTACCTACAGGCGTAGACTGCTTGGCCCACTTTCCACTGTTTAGTATGGGTGTGTCCCAGGATGAGTTGGATTCCTGCAAGCAATGGTTTCTTTTTTCAATCAATCAGTCAGTCAGTCAGTCAATCAATCAAGCAATCAATCAATGAATCAATCAAGCAATCAATCAATCAATCAATCGACCAATCAATCAAGAGGAGATTCAACTCATTTTGAGACATACCCATTTTCCAGCCGAGCTGAGCGTGAAGTGTTAAACGTGCAAGGCACCCAGATTGGAACGCCTCATCTACCAGAACGCAATGGCATTCTACTCCGATGAGGAGCGAAGGGGCAGGGTGGCGGAGGACGCCGAGCCAATACATGAAAGTTCCTTGCACGTTGTGTAAACAGATCATTTCAACGTTGAGGGAGCGAACCAACCAGTTGCCGACCAGATGGCACCAGAACTGGAAGAACAACCCACCAAGTTAGAGCCTTGGGCTTACCTATTGTTATTTCCCAAGGTGAACTTGACCAAGGACCCCCCAAAACCACGCTTGCGACAAGAGCCACACGGCGAGGTCCGATGAATAGATCGGCAGCCTTTTGCGCGTAGCCTTTTCGGCGTTGGAGGGTTCAGGGCTGATGGCCATGATTGCTGGTTGACCGCGGGCGCGACTCATTCTGGGCGGTTCGTTTTTGTTTTGTTTCTGTTTTTTGCGAAAAGGAGAAGCGGGTGAAGAAGGTTTGGGTGCCTAAGACGCCCAACGCGGCAGCGCAGGCGGCCATGCAGGCGCGGATTTCTTGAGATGGGAAGGAGAATGACTGAAGTGGGGATGGATCCTAAGGGACGCCCTGTCAGGTTGCATGTGAAAAGGGTGGGAGAGAATTGGCTTTGTCTGGGCTGTTCAACTGTAATCAATAATGCTTGCCTTGGGTTGCGAAGTGAACCATCAGTGGTTTCCGTTGGCTTGGCCCAAGCGGTTCATTCCCAAGCCCCTTTTGATTCCCGACTGAGCACCTGAGAACCATCAAGTGAGGGGATAAATTCAAGCAAAACTTAGATGATTATATAGACTGACTTAGCAAGTAGCTTAGAACCTTGGTCATCAAGGGAGGTCCAGCAAGTTTCGTCTTGCTGCTTGCTTCCCTTCCAGTTCAGTGGCAACTGTGCAACATTGCTACATTACAACTTCCCCCTGTAGCCGTCGGGCAGGCTTTTGAAGGAAGGAGACCCTTGGATGGGAAAGTTTTGCCGGGAAAGTTTAGTTTCGATGGGCAACGCCTTGAAAGAAAGACTTCAAACACCCGGGTAGATACAGCTTAGTAAGGGACAGTTGCAATCACAAACGGATTCAGAGGATCTCAATTCATTGCATGGCTCTGGGGGGGCATCATTTTGTTATCATGTTTTGATGGTGACTCAGGTGAGGACCAACTTCAAGGTAGCCTTCCTGAACGAGTTCCGCAAAGATGCACGAGCAGCCTTGACGGCGTATATCAAGGCCTACGAGCAGTTGCCCGCTTGGAATCCGCCTCAAGGGTCGGAGAAGGGGAGGGGGCGAACGGACCTCATGATTTGAGCTGATTTGCTGATGTGGGCCGCAACCAAGTGGGGGATTTCCGTGCGAAAGATGTTGCCAGTTCGGGGTTTTCCATGTGAAGCATGTCAACCTGGAGGGTGATCACCTTCGAATTTCCAGCCTTGAACAAGTGAGGTTGCTAAAAGATGCAGATGTGGCAGATGCCGTAGAAAGAATGGATCTCTGCAACTACATCACCGTGAGGACTGCTGCGCCGGCCTCGCGCCGTTTGTTGCTTCTGTGAAAGATATCACTCGCCAGGCATCACCTGAATTAGTCCTCAGCAGCAGCAGTCTGGCATCAAACAATGAAAAAGTTGTGGCATACGGCTGTATTTGTTTGAGGGCACCCCTTTTCTGGGTGGTTCGGTGGGAATTCCCACAAAAGCCAGGCATTCGAGGCACCAATTGGTTTCTCACTTGGAGGATGTACCAGCGGTATTTCGCGTCGCATGATGTGGGCGCGGCCGTGCACCACTGCCGAATCCACACGGCCTCCTTGCGGCGATGCTGCGTGGACGACGAGGAGCTTGTCTGGCGGAAGTGGCACTGGCTGTCCTTGACGCATGGCAAGCCTGCGGGGGCAAGAATCATGGAAGCCCACCCGCCCACTTCCATGATTGTTGGAAGTAGGGCAATCCACCCCGCAACCTTCAAACACTTTGACCATCCCATGCAACATTTTGCCCCGACAAACTCCATGCCAAAGACACCCAGCATTTCAATCTTAGGTGCTCAAAATGCCGCTTTTTAGCCCAAAAGGGCACCAAAAGTGGCCTTCATAGCCCAAATGCTCTTTTGGCAACGGTCTAAAAACAAGTTTAAAACGGGTTCCTCAAAGGATACATGGGCCAGTTCCTGATGAGTATCCGAAGAGTTGGGGGGTTGACAAGGCTGCCCATTTTGAACGCGCTGGCCTCCCTGTAGCTGCCCAGCAATACATGCATAAGGGTCTCGCTTGTGCTGGTCTGCCATTTCTCCCCTTTAAATTGATGTTGCGATTTGCTTATAGAGATTGATGCAGGAGACAGTCGCGTTTTGAGTCCGGCTTCGAACGGCTCAAGAGCGTTCATGCCCACAATCGTTCGGGCTGGAGCCAACTTTGGGAACCCTATTTGAAGGCAGGCGATGACAGTTTGCTTCGGATCCCCGCTCAACCCTTCATTTGCCGGCAGCATCTAGCAGAAACAGTTCTGACAGTTTTCCGCCGGCGATCATGCCCAAGGAATCATCAGATCTTCGGCGCCTTGGCAGTCAATTGCTCTCTCTATGGAATGTATGGGTCTACTTGACGGAAAACGAGCAGCACACCGTGCAAAACACATGAGCAGACAATGGATGGCCGCCCTTGTCACAGGTACCAACGAGCAGATGAGAGGTTTTCAAGCACCGGCCAGTCACTTCTTTTCCAGTGAGTTGTTGATAGCATCAGCTTGTTTAGGGTAACACCCCACTTCCTTGTTGTAAAAGTATCTTGTTTAGTGTAAACGTAAGTTCCCACTTGTTTGTGGTACAGTCACCTCGCTTGATGTAGCAGTCCAGTTGGCGGCCACGCAAGCGTCGATGTAACACGGCAGGACCTACTCCTTTGGTTCACTTTGTTTGGGGAGCGGGTCCTACGCCTACGTACAAGTGACTTGCTCGCTTCAGCTGCTTCTCCAGGTGACCTCTTGGACAATGTAGTGCAGAAGGTTCCATCGTACCTCGGCGACTCCAGTCCCTATGTCCGGTTTCCGATGGATGGCTTGTTTTTGTTTCAGGGTACCACTTGTTTAGAAGTAGAACACAATTTGGAGGGGGGGCCGTAAAGATGGACAGCCTTACTTTGTCCAACCGTTGCGGTCAAATTTGCGGGGACTGGGTTTGAGTTGCTTTTCCAGTGGGCAAAGTGCCCTGCGCTTCGGCAAACAATACTTTTGACGGCACGAGAGAAGACATACTTTCAAACTGCAAACATTGAAGCCCACAGGGAAAGTATAGGGAACCGACTGCATTTAGGTTGGAACCCCGGCTCCCCATGCTGACAACTTGGGTATACTTGCCTGACGTGGCCTCAACAGGTTTCCTGCGGCTTCCTTTCCCGGCTGAAGGAATCAACTGTTTTCGCATGTTAGTGTGGTTGCTTGTGCTTGTTGAACACCTACTAAGCATCAATCGAACTGCAGACAAGTCCAACAGATATTCCCCCCTCAAAATTTATACCCACATAGCTCACCTTTGGGTACGACATGCTACGGCTTGCGGAGGTACACAACTGACCAACCGGATTTCGGCCGATTCCTCGTTTTGATCGGATCATGAGTCGCCACAGGCTCATCGACCAGAGCGACATGTGGCAATTCTCGGGCTTTCACTTTCAGTCTGCCGCCCTCTACTCGCGCCGCTTGCGCGCCTTGGGCCTTTTGTTTGGCTATTTTTGAGGGCCACTTTGCGGAGGGGCTTCCGTTTCCGGTTTTGTTCCAAAGCCGCCCAAACAGGGACCGCCCCAAGAAAAGACACGGATGATAAAGGGAACACGTACGGCAGAGAGATAGCTCTGATCGTAAGAATCTCGATTTGTTTGTGGTCATATTCTACCCTCTCCCCCAATCCTGCCATATCCCCACTGGTTTCCTCCAAATACGGCCTTATTGCTGTGGATGGACAGCAAAGTGGACCAGCGGTAGGGGGGGGGGGCGTGTTGGAGAGGGTTGAAATCCAATGAAGCCAAGTAGCTTCCACCGAGGGGAGTGGGCCCTGCGATGCCTTGAGCCTGGTCATTTGCTGCCTCCTTGGAGCCTCGGCCGGGTTTTGTGTGCGCGGGAGAACCGACCACTGTTTGCACCTTTGGCTTCTCCCAGTCCAGTTTCAGACCAGGTTCCAAAGCTTACCCTCTGTCCAATAGAAGTGTAATTTGTCGGGTCCCTCAAAAGGAAAGTCCGAAAACCGTCAGCTTCCATTGGAGGGTGAGGTCCTTTGGGCAATTTGCGTCACTCGATGTCGCAGACTCCCAGGAACCAAGGAGGTGAGCTCCAAGCCTCGCCTTACCTGGGCCAGGCCAGGAGTTCGTCGCCGTCTTCCGCGTTTCTCGCGGGGAACCGACATCCCTTTGTCCGCAAATAAACCAGCCACATCCAACTGCAAACATGCGGTAGCATAGGAAGCTTGAGAGGTTGCTCCAGACCCTGGGCCTGTTCTCTACTTGCAAAATTTAGAGCATCGACCGTATGTCCCTCTTGTTGGGGGCTCAGCGTTTCCCTATGTTCCATTTCTTTCCTTCAATGAATGAAGAGTGTCCAGTAAAGCCGATGGTTTCCCCTGGGCTGTGCGGCTTTCGTTGTTTTCTTTGTTTTTGCTTTAGGACCGAACATACATAAAGACACAAACCAATATCCATTTACACAGTATGCATAGTACATGTATGCTCATACATAAACCATGTCTTGGTGGCGATTGGCTGCTGCGCCAAAACAACCTTTCGTGGGTTTAGAACAGACTTGAGGTCCAGCCACATAGCAGCCAAGACGCTGCATCCACGCCCCAAATTGGAAGAACCATGCCCCCTCTCCCCCCCCCCCATCGCTCCGCGCATGGCCATTGCCCCCGTCACAAAAAGTGTAACATCTTGCCCCTGCATGCAAACCAGCTCAGTAGCATGACTGGCATGCTTCTTCTTGCTGGCTCGTGGGGAAAACGCTCCTGAGATTGTCAAGGGCCCTCCAATTTCTGATAGCCAAGAGAAGGCCCCTTTGTTATCCACCTCGGAATCCACCCTATTTCGGCGCTGTTGCAACCTCATTGTGTTGCGGGGTCTCCTGTTTTGGGGCCATACGCACAAGTTCTTCCTGCCTTGGCATCACGACAAACCTAAAAGAACAAACTTGCTGGTGCTCAGAGAATGTGGTTGGATGAACCCAGGCTTTGGTCCCCAAGGAACCCACCAGTTGGATGTTTTTTTGTTTTTTCCTTGGTGCCATGCCATTTCTCATCCCTTATCGCACCAGCTGCCCCATACCCCGCCCAAGAAGCCGAACCCCAGGCGGGGCACTTGGAGCGGCCCTCGGAGGTGGACTCCCCGCACCTGGAGGTGCGGCTGCGCCTGGCGCATGGCCAGGCCCGGCGGGGGGCGGGCGGGGGGGGGGGGGGGGATGGCCCAGGAAAAAGCCGGGGGTTGGCATCCGCAAAGCTCCCCCCTACCGCGTTAAGGATAGACATTTGGGGGCAGGAGGGGGGGAGGGGAGTGACTTTTGGAATGCTGATGGTTTCACGTTTGCTTGGGGAATGCTTAAATGGAATTGGGGGGACACCCGCAAGAGCAAAGGAGTTTTTGTACCCCGTGTGGTTGCCAAGCTTAACATAACGACCAGAGTGGCAAACCCAAAGTGTCAGGACTTGCTCTGGCAAATCCGCGAGCTGCACCAGTTCTAGGCATAGTTTCAACCTACTTGCCGTTGAAAACTGCCAAGTTGCCCGCTATCCCAAAGCCTTGAGGGCTCATAGAGAAACAGGGCCGGGCACCTTTCTTCATGGGTACATCCAAGTGCTCGATGCCAAATGCACCCGTCCAACGCCTGCAACTCGAGGCCAAGAAGTACCAAGACCACGCGGATCGCAGCTTGAGGCTTGCCTTTAGCTTAGGCTTTAGGGTATGCGGTTTGCTGGTTGGCCCTCTTTTTGGGTGTTGGGGCAGCCATGTAGGAGAATGCACCCCCATTTCCACACTTTTAGGGGATGCCTATAGAAGCAAAATAAGGGGCAAAAAGGTGAAGGCTGTTGGGGTAGGGGTCATGGATCCTTGGTCATTTAGACCATCTTGAATGCGCCTATGGGAGCCCTGACCATGACCCACGTAACATACCAGACTTGGTCGCTACCTTCTTCCCTGTTCGCAGGGGTTCAATGGACCAGTTTTGAGGAGGCAACTCGCATGTGCGCTTGCTGACGAAGACAATCGATCGCCCTTTAAGTCATTCTCCAAGAGGAACCGACCCAGGACAGACGGAATTGTTGCTCTTTTTTCACACCCCCTATTTAGCACCCAGTTTGGATGTATGGATGCTAAAACAGCCTGGTTTTGAAGAAGGCAGTCCTTCAGAGTCAGGTTTGGCCAGCCCTCAATTTCGAACCCCCACACCCCCCCCCGTGGATGCTTTGCTCCGTTGCCTGTTGTCCTTGTCTCAGCGACCCAACTCTGCGGGTCACATGGTGAAAGCCGCACAGTCACTGGGCTGCAATGGTTCCCTTCTTGGCTCATCACTTGAGTGTGTGCGTGTTTTTGTGTGTCTTTTTGAGGGTATCCTCTGTGGGTTTTGCTTCAAAGGAAAAACCGCCGGGAATCAGAACAGGACTTCCAGCGGCTCCGATAGAACACATTCGCTCAGGAAGCTGCTGATCCGGACGCAGGCCTCGGCCAAGGAGCCGGTTTTGGAAATTTTAGCTAATGATTCCCAACACACTGTTTACTCCCTCCACGAGTTACCAGACTTTCAACATGTTAAACATGCTGGGAAGACAATCTTAGTGTTAAACAAAAGGTTAGACCGTCAGACCTTTTGTGACCCATGTCAGAAAGTTCAGTCCGGCTTTTGGGTTCGGATATAGCTGGCCCCAGTTTGATTTGGACCGGCTTCGCGCTTGCGCGCGCAAGCGGTAGGAGCGGGGCTTCGCCAGTTGGGTCACGGTGTCGCAGCTGCGGCTGGCGGAGGCCTACTTGTGCGACCAGGATGGGGGTCTTTGCTTCCCTTGTGTGTGTGTGTTTGTTCATTTGTGTGTGTATGTTTTTTGGTTTTCTGTAATAATTAATGTGTGTACGAGAACAAGTTCCGGTTGAACACCTCCAGGAATCTCTTATCCTTAGATACGAACACCAACAGCGATTTGGTGTTCACCAAGTCCTGGAAGAGAACTCATCCCGCAGTTTGCCTTTGTTCGAAGGTTCCTTTTGCGTTTGTGGGTTGAGATCAGGAAGCTGGTCACCGGGAGGCCGCCAGCATCTCGGAGGCAACAAAAACGGCTGTGACGCCTGGGCGAGGAGGCGAGCACGTTTGGACCGGGTGAATGAAGCGAAGAGGTGCGTTTCAGACTTAATGTTCAAACAATCTCCTGCAAGCCCAATCTCGGAAGTGAGTCCAGCCAACTCCAAGAACCTTTAGCAAAGCCCACCCGCCCCAAGCTGACCTAGCTGTTTGCTTACCAAAATCTCTACAATGACCCTTCCATAGTTGCCAAGCTTACTTAGTGGCAAAATGATGATGACGCATTGCTTGGAGATCTCTCGCATAGCGGTTTTGACCTTCATATGCATCCAGCTTGATGTGGTAATTTGCCAAGAGGACTCAGCCTTCCTCTGGAGGTCACAAAAGCTGCGGGGTTGCACGTTTGTGCCTTGAGAGCTGAGTACAACAGGGTTGCTCTTTCCGCGGGGGCAGAGCGTTGGGGCGATCAGAGCCCTAGATTTCAAGGGCCAAAGAGGAAAGCTATTCAAGCACAATGGAAATCTGGTAGTTCCATGAGGGAATGGGAATGCCACCCCCACGAAGTGACAGAGCTGCGACCTTGGAAAGCGTGCTCCGAGCTGATAAAGGATGATCAAGTCAAAATTTGGGCAAACATGGAAAACACGCTCCCTTGATTCCCTAGCAGGCATGTCTACCAACTTGTGCCGACTGATTCGGAGCAGCTCTCAGCAGTTGTGATCTATTCGAACTTGCCCCCATACTAGGGCCCTAAAGGGATCGCGGGGGGCTGCTTTTTGAGTTGGACCTTGGACGTTTGACAAGTGCTTTTCCTAAGCCATCGCTAGCGCGAACTTTTGTTTCAATCAGAGGACCTACATCAATGGTGTCTTGATGTATTCTAAATCGGTGGCGGCATAAACTAGTCTGATCCATTTCCACCGGAGACTTCCATTTGCCGAAAGGAATAGGTGTTATTTTCCCCTGTTGGCTTTAAAGGGAAAAGCTTTTACTACAGGACATGCTTGTGGATGGACGAAATCCTGCGCCACTTTGAAACCATGGGAAAGCATGTTTGTTGGCATCTACAGGGGAATCATCAATCCGGGGTTCTTTAGGTGGTGCGAACGCACTTTGTCCATCCGCATATTTTCTTTTTTTTGTTCCGGGCAAACAAGCAAATGGAGGGAGATCAGCTCCCAGGAAATCTCTTCGAGCGAGTGCGGAGAGGGCCTTCCACTTGGCCTTCCTTGCAGCGATTTGCCTTGGAGCGCTCCGCCCCTTGAGCCGAAGAATTTTCGCGGGGTTCGAGCAGAGGTTCTTTTGGGCACATGTGTTGCTGACATACGCAACCCTGTAGCCAGTACTAAAAGGAAGACAACCCTATGTGTTTGTTTTTGGGCACCCAGTATGCAGAGACCACCCATTTCAGTACAATTGTGCCATTATTGTTGTTGCTTGCTTGAAGAAGTTTCCTTCAGGTGGTCATGGCTGGCCGGGTTTAGTCACCAGCAAATGAACAACGCGTTCTCGGCTAGTAGATTGCAAAGGGGCCAATCGTTGTTTTCAAGCACCAGATGTCACACGTGAACATTTGCAGCCTATTGTTTGAGGGTACCATGATTTGGGGCTTGTTCGAACGGAAACCCCATTTTTTTGGCGCCAGCACATGCAAACACACCTACTTATATGCTTTCTGTTATACTTTTCTTGGCGGCCTTCGGGCATGGCTTATTGTGTTGAATTTCCGTGCCTCCTGTTCAAGATTCCCCCTAGCTGCGCGAGCCAGATCAACTTTTGCGGAATGCTAAACCAGAGGCAAGGAACAAATTTATCAGTCAAAAGGGCCCTTCAGTACAACACAAGGTCCCCCCCCCCTTTGTGCCCCTTTGCTCCTCCGCCCCCTCCCCCCTCCCCCCAAAAAGGAAACGAAAGCAGCCATACGGATCTCCTGGACAAGTCCTTTCAGCATGCTCACCTCGCGCTAGGCTGTAACCCCGTGGCAACCCTCTCAGAGATCCATGGTGGATGTTCAATTTTATTTTAATAAGTAGCTTATATCCATGGTCGTAAGGGGACGAAGCCCAGTTCCCCAGTCACAACCATGGTTATGGGTTGCTTAGTAATTGGCGTCACGATCCCAGTATTTGTGTTGGTGGTTTCCAAACACCTTCAGCTTTTGGCCTGGGGTCTAGAGGATCGATGACATACCCAAACTCGAGCTTCACCATTGGATTTGAGTTTGGCATCCTGTTGACTGTATCGAAGGTCAACCTGCCTATTTTGAGTAGGAAAATGACCAAGAACTTGTGCGAAGGTCAACCCACCAATTTGAGTAAATAGAAACATGACAAAGGCACCTCCCACCACGAAACGGTCAACCCACCCATTTTGAGTATCTTGGACAACGAACAAACACCGTCGACACCTTCCGACGAGTTTCGCTTGGCGAGATCTTCTGCGGCTGCAGCGCCCTGCGGCTCCCGGTGCCCAGCGCCTGCAGCTTGAGCCGGGCGCTGCCGGCGGAGACGGGGCCGGACTCCGGCGCTGAAGGCCTGGACATGGAGAAGGCGGGGAGAGGTGTGACGGTCGTGGGCGGTGCCGGTTTTTTAGGGGATCCCCAGCCATGGCTGGGTGTTACATTGGTTTTACAGGGGTAGCAAAGGTCCTAGTCCTTTGTTTGGTTTTACAGGGGTAGCAAAAGAAAAACCAGCCGTGGGGCTTGCCTATTTTGAGAGAGACCCACATTCAACCGAGGCCTGTGGGCGGCTTCCCTTTTCCCTTCTGGCGAGAGGAACTTCCCCAAATTCATCCAAGGTGATGTTCTATTTCTCGTCACGGAACAAACTGGAGGGGGGGGAGACTAGTTTAGCAGCGGTTCTTGGGATGTATCAATCGGACATCCTAGTCTCATGGTTGGCAGTGCACCAAAGACAGGATCCCCAAAACAAGGCACGCAAAAGGAAGCCTGTTGGGGGGCCCTTAACAAGCATAGGATGCTGCGAAACCAATCATATTAGGGTGTCATCCATGGCCATTCGTTTTTGTTGCTAAACCCATAGCAATACGGGTTTCACCGGTGTCACCTGCGAAAACGATTCGGATTCAACCACTAATTGGAAGGGGACAGTTGAAAGCGCGGTTTTGCTTTTTCAGAGCCCAGTTGCTATTATTTATAGTATGTAGTTTGAGATTCTTCACACAATATGGCCAGACAGAAACATATTGTTTTTGGTTGGGGGGCAAAGCTTAGGTAGTAACGAAGAGGCGTTCTAGGTGGCACGAATACGATTCCTTCCACAAACTGGAGCATAGCGTCATAATGACTCCCGCAAGTTAATATCGACAAAACCTGATCCAATCCAATGGGGAGATAAAACCCCTGTCCATGTCGACGTCCACGAGAGGATGGTGGATCAGGCTACCTTTTAAGGCCTTCAAAATGGGAAGCTAATGGCCTCCGAACCGCGATTTTTTTTCTTGTTTTGATAGTACACTTGTTTTGTGGTTTTAAAAAGAACTACGAGCAACACCACCACCCAGTGGGCCCCCTTTAAAAAGTCACACCAACCCTTATTGAGGGAAGCCGAGATGTTGCTCCGAAAGAGGCGAAAGGAAAACAACAAACACGGGAGGTATGTGTCATTTGACTTGGCCAAGTGTGCAAAGGTCAAGACATACTGTGGAAACCATGTTTTTTTGGCATTTACAGAGGCAATCATCCTTCCAGGTGTCTGAGGTAGTGCAGGATTTCGTCCATTCACAGTAGAGTGGAAAGCAAGGGTTACAATGGTTCATGATGACCATAACGACGTCATCACATGTTGCTTTTTGGTGTGGCCCCGCGCTTGCTTCCGGTCGGAGAGGTCCGGGAATGCCTGGTGCGGGACATTTTCGAGTACTTGAAGACTTCCAACCAGGACTTGGAGGCAAAAAGAAACCAACACCGGGGCCTCTCTGCAGGTTATCCCATTATTTCTAGGGCTTCATCTATCCCAATTGGTGCAGTGCAGGATTTCGTTCACCCACAGGAGCAGTCCTTCATTTTGCCTGCTGAGTTGGCAAACTTAAAACCTTTTGCAGGTTGGTTTCTTCATCCAGTCAACTAAGCAAGTCAGCTGAACGTTTGCTTGTTTTTTTGTTGGATCCCCCTCCCTAGACACTCTTGTTGTTGTATAGTCCTTATGTTTCCCCCTCGAAGGTGATTCAATCATCTTCTGTTGGGCGTGCAAGTCGGCTTTCTTGTCAGCGGGTGATGCTTAAAGGGACGACAAAGTCTTACTATTACATGCTAGTTCAGCATCCTTCCCTGACATATGACATATGTCACTATTACCTGCTGGTTCAGCATCCTTCCTTCGGAGTACTCAAAATGGTCAACCCCTTTTGCCTTCCGAGTCGCTTGCAACGGGGCGGCCAGCTGTGAGGACCAGTCAGAACTCCTTGAGCTCGCAGCCACGGCCGCCAGCGCTTTGGCCCCTGGACACTTAGCTCGAATGCCACGGAAAGCACGCCATCAATCCCGCCGAGCCGGGGGGGATGCGGGGGCTTCCCTAAAAGGATCGGGTGCCACTCAACTGATGAATCAGTTTTCTTGTTTAGGGCCCTGTCCGAGTGGTGTTTGATTCTTTAGGGCCAAAAGTCTCAACCTGAGCATTAAAACGGGGGGGGTTCTCGCCGCCTGAGTTCCTGGACTTGAAACCTTGTCGTCTTGGACCATTTGGGCTTTTAAAAGCAAAGTTTGGACTTGTTTGGTTAGTGCACTCCGGAAGTGAGGTTCTTGCTGCATCCCCTCAACGAATCCCAAATTTTGGTACAGCTAAGGGAGGTTGTTGAAACGCTCCTGTCATGTGGAACAAAATTCTCATTAAGATCCATGTTTTGCCCGTTGCCCTTTTGGTTCACGGAAAGAGTCGTTTCCAATTTGTTGACCCCAACTTAGAGCTAAGTGATGCTGAACCTGGCTTTTTGAAGGGCTGTCTGGCCTGTGTTGGGCAATCCACACGATCCTTGTGTTGGGAAAGCGATTCCCCTCCGCGGCTTGTGCTCATCGATTGGTGGGGGCAAACGAGCTCGTGAAGGTCCTTTCCGGGAATCCCGTTTGTGAGTTATGGTAATTTTCCCGGTTCTGTTTCTCAATTCGGGATAAGAGCCGGCCCTGCATGTGGACCTCCCTGAGTGACACGTAATGGTGCCCAGCAAAGTCCCCATGAAACTTATCATCCCCCATTTCCCCCCCCCCCCCCCCACCCCGCCCTCCCCTCCTGCCACCATGCAAAAACGCTGTTTTTTTGTATTTACAGGGGAATCAGATATCATTCCGTTGGGCTTAGGTGGTGCGATTTCTGGATTTCGCAGCCCACCGCAGTACCCCTCACGGTCCGTTTGGCGCCCGAGGAGCCGTGGAGGTGGCTTTAGAACCGGGATGCCTCAGCTGGGAGTTCGAGACCTTCCAGGCACCCTACGAGGGGATGGGTTTGCCAAAGACTGCAAGGGGCAGGAATCAAAGGTAGACATGTAATAGGAATCAACTAAGGGAAACATAGGGGAAAAAGCTGTTCATATGGATTTGTGTTATGATTTTCCTTCTCTTACACTCATTCAAGGTCACAAAGGGTCTTTGCATTTCCCTTGATTTATCCATCGCCATTGGCCCAACTAAGTAACTTGGAGTTTCCAAGGCTGAGACCCCGGGAGGTGTCCTTCGATGTGCCCTTCCCTCTGGAGCTGGGCAAGCACTGTGTCGCCGTCTCCTCGGCGGGAGAGGTGCCCGTAGCCCGTCACGGCGAGGCGGGCGGGCGGGTGGGACGGACCGTCGGACCGTCGGACCGTCGGACCGTCCCGCGGCTTCGGGGATGCGACACAAGCCCTGCCTGAGGTTTGCACCAGATGGGTTCCTTTATCTCTTTCCACCTTCTACCTCTTAAGCACCCAAGGGATGGAGATAGTGAGAAGAACAGGAGGTAGAAGATGGAAGGTGGAAGCGATAGGAAGGTAGAAAGTGTTGAAAAATGAGGGGACCCATTTTGGCGTCAGTGTCCCTTTAGACCCAGGCAAAAGGGGTTCTCCAAGAACACCCGCATTTGTTTTGGTGGATCTAAGAGCTTGATCCATATTGGCCCCCAAATGACCATGGGTAACTTCCCCCATTTAGTGGTGAAAGTCCTCTTTCTTGGTGGTTTCCCTCGTGGTCGCCGCATGTGTATAAATGACTTTTTGATAAACCCCCAGAGAAACCATGGAACGCAACAATCTATATGGTTGGGAATCCACGTGTGTGCGGCTTTCTTTGGGGGTGTCATGTAAATTTGCAGGCAGGTCAAATCATGGTTCTATCTGGCTAGCTGGTTGATTAGTGTCCGCATAAGTATGGTGGAACCACCTACTTCGGTGTCACTTCTGCTTTACTTGTAGAGCATTCCGTACGGGCTGTGTCATCTAGTGATTCAAGAGTCATAGCAAGGGAAGCCAGGTTTTTCCTAGTGATATCAGCGACCAGTAGTTAGGGGCCGTTGAGGACCATGAAGGGCATCACGATCCCTTGCTAATGACATTGAATCAGCATTGGAAAGAGTTCAGCTGATGCACCCACGACGGGATTACTCTAAGCTCAGTCCGAGTAGCCGCCTGAGCCCAGAGGCTTCGCCGCTGGTGGTGCAGGGCCGGCTGCAGCACGGCAGCGTCACCTCGGTGAAGCTCCCGTGGGCGGCGCCGGCGGTGCTCTTCACAGGCGAGGCATCCCGAGCGGCCGAAGTGATCCGATCGGATGGTCAACCCACCGGCCAGGCGACGAGGGCGACATTTGGGGGGAAGCTCGGGTCCCTCATAAACATGGTTCTGAACTCATAGACCGAGGTTGGATATCCAAGTAGGGAACAAGTGGACCAGCTGGATCAAGGACTGCTTGCCACATAGCCATTAACTATTGATGCTGCCAAAAGAAACCCATAATCGGGATGGTTATTTGTTTTCCCAGACCTCCTATTGTGCACCCAGAGGACAAGTGGAAAATTATTTGGGAGTTACTGCGGTATGTTGTTTTTATTATGGCTCGCCTTCAGTCCCAAAAAGCAAAGTCGAATTATGAACCTTGTCCAGGATTTATGCCTCAGGGCGCTTTAGACATGACCAAACACCCACGTCAAGTAAATAGGACCACAACCTCAACCATAGCAGTTCAGACACTGATAATTATTATTTCTCCGGTATTCGAAGGCGCTGATCTTGAAATACCGAACAGCAGCCATGCATTGCTACAGCCTGACTTCTTCAACGCCAACCTTTGGAAGCTACCCGGCTCAGATCACTGTGCTAAGCTCGAAATGCGAGACTTCTGGATTCCAGGCGGCTTTGCGTGAGGCGTTGTGGCCTATGCCTTTAGTCCAAGGCCCGCTTACACACTCTCGACATATCTCACCTATGAGTCCTGTTTCTGAGAGTGGCTTCCGGGTATACCGCGCATGGTCCCTGTCCAATCCTTATAGCCCAATTGAAACCAGTGACTCTGGTGGTGAAGCTGCAAATGACATCTACCTTTCGGTCTAGGCTCGCGTTCGAAGGACAGAAGCAAGGCCTCGAGTAGCGTTCCAGCCTTTCCAGTGATTACTCCAGGGTTCGGCAAAACATGGCTTAGACACCCACGTCAAGCGGTCCACACGATTCCCATGTTTGCGTTTGTCAACGTCACTGAGATTTCTTTCGGTAGGGGGATGGATGTTTAGAGTGGCAATCTCTGACACCCCTTCCCAGAACAGCACTTCGCAGGGACTCCGCTTAGTAAAGGGAAATTCTCAGGGACCCTGTGATAACTCACTCGAAGGCGCCTGCGGCGGCGACACCTTCCGCGACTGGCGCGCCCAGCTGCCAGGCTTCGCCTCTGCGCCGAAGACGTCGACGCCGAGGGCCAAAGCTGCGGGGGACATGCGGGCGGAGGCGCCGAAGACGGGGTTTTCGGTAGCGCAAATTCCTGCAGGTGGGCTAGGCCTACCCTCACTTACCCGATTTCCGATGTCTCGCCTGTTTGGTCGATTTTTAGTCATGGCCCCAAATGATTCAGCTTTTTATGTGAGTGCCTGCCGAGCACGGTTTTAGGACTAGTTGGCTGACCTCACTTGCGACACCAATCCCCTTGAAACTGATCAAGGAGTCATGTGCTCCAACCACTTTGGCATCATAGAGAGAACAGCCCGACGCCGGCGGAGGTGAGCTTCCCTGTGGATCCGGGCAAGGCGATGGTGGCGGAGGCAAGGACGAGCTCAAGTGTCAAATGACTATGCCGCAAGTCGTTGGTTTTTCTTGGCTTCCCTTGAAGCAAACAAGGTAGATACAAGTTACAACGTTTATCATGTTCAAAGACAATCTCAAGTGTGTGGGTTTGTTTGTTCTTGCTCGAAACAGCTTTTAACCAACTCATCACAGAGGACGCCCTTTTCAGCCCCCTTTTGAAGTGCTGTTTGATTTACAGAAGGGGGCGCCATTGCAGCGAAACATTTTGCTGGCTCTCAGCAGGGAATGAGGGAATGACCTTTATAAACCATCCAACTGGTGGTTTCCTTTAAGCAAACCAAGGCCTGGGTTCATCAACCAGATTTCCTGCCTATCGAAAAGGGTCGCAATTCCCATGCCACTCGATCCATTGCTGAGGCCTTTGTCTGCTTCGCAGTGGTGCGGGCGCCCGCCACGCCGCGGCAGGGGGCTGAGCTGTTTCTGTCCTGCAGCCTCAACATGCTGGAGGCACGGGGTGGGGGGAACCATCTCTCAGTGGCACGCTGCGAGTGCATTCAAGACCCGCCAAAGATGGTGAACCCCGAAAAGAGTTCCTTAGCAGATCGATTGTGTTCCTTCAATTGTGTCAATCTGCCCAATTTGTGTGGTCAGAGGTGTCTGAACAGTTGAGCTACCATCTTCTACGTTTGCCCTTTCCTGAAGTGATGCTGATACTGAAATCCTGGGTTTGAACGTTGACCAATGGGCCGTAGCTCAGGCTACTTGCAGATGCCTATGGCAGCAGTTGGTTGGTCCTTGGGTTGGTGTTTGGAATATGGTCCTTGGATTGGGTCCTTGGGATGTGATCCTTGGATTGGTCCCATGGATATTCCATGGATTGGTCCTTAGGTTCTTCCTTGGGATATGGTCCTTGGGTTGGGTTGTTTTTGGGTGGCCTAATGCTGGGCGGTAAGGACCTGGACGAGACCCCGCCCTCCAATCAGTTGGACAGCTCCCTGGCACCCTCGGTGAGCTTGATCCGGGACTGGGACTTGCAGCCCGTGTCCGACCTGGTCGGGGAGAAGGCGACGCGCAATCCACTGGTTTTGAGATGGAGTGTTCCTCTGGAGGTTATCAAAGTCAAAAAATGGGGTTGTTTCCCTTGAACCCATCACTTAGGGGTGACTTTGGTCATGGTAAAATAATGAGGCCAGTCCAAAGGTACTCACTTCGCATCCCAAGCTTTTGGGTAAAACTTGGGCCTTGTACTTCCTATTTTCATGGTACTCATGTTTTGTAAACCTGTTTGGGCCAATCCACTCAGGAACTGAGCATATGTACAGAGAGCCCTTCTTCAAGAAAGAATCAGCAGGAAACCGTTTTTCCTGTGTAAAAAAATGAAAGCCACCGCAATTTGGCTTCCAACGTTGCGAGCCCAGGTGGCTGTGCAGGAGGCAAAGCTCCGGCCTGTCCCTGGCATCCTGGTCTTCGAGGAACAGGCTGAAGGAACGCAGGTCTGCCACTCGCTTGGCCTAGCCTCAGCTTTTGAAACTTGAATGTTGTATTGGTTGAGTTTTCCCGTGTCTTTTGTTCCTTTTGAGGGGGTTCCTTTAAGACCAGCTACTGTTCCACAGGTGGTGGGTTGTTCGGGCTGTTCGTTGATGCCTAGCAGAGTTTCAAGCTTGCAGATTGCATGTTTAGTTGTAAAAGCAAACAGGGTAGTTGCCAGGTAATGCCCGAACCCTCTATTTATCTATTCCAAATGCAGAACAAGCACATCCTCCATTTGAGCGTCATTGTTCCCATTGTTTCTCAGTGTCAAAATCCCGTGCCGTTTGCTTCCATCCAATTGCATCTGACAGTCTCAGCCAGTTTTGCTGGGAGAAGCTCCGAGGCAAATGGCCGCTGGTGGTGCAATGCGGGCGCAGTTGCCGAGTGGCTCTGAGGTTGTCCTTGGAGATGAATGGCACGTCCATCTCGGTGTCCGCGCCGTTGATTAACTTCCAGCATGCCCTGAAGCTCATCTGGATACAGATTCTGTAACTTTGCCTTCTCCCAAAAGGTTGGTGGCACCATCTCCACCCCTCAGCAACTGGACCGCTCGGTGTCTCATGCCCACATCGGACGACGACCCCACTCTAGGTTGATCAAGAAGCCTATGCCCAAACCAAACCAAATCAGTTCAATCCAACCCAAACCAAGCAAGGGAGACCAGATACCGTCCAACCAAAAGAAGGTCTCCCAAGGCCCAGGTTCCCCAAAAAGGGCTCTACTCACCACCATTGGCGCCCAAATCCCGTCCTCAGGAAGCTTCACTTGGTGGAGGAGCGGGTGGCGGCCGCTTTGGAGAACCAGCGCCCGGCGCCCTTCGCGCTGAAGTGCGCGGCCTCCATCCAGGCCACCGCCGTGGAGGCGGTCTATCAGAAGGCCGGGGGGCGTGGAAGCCGTCGGCCGAGCGAGCGCATGGGGAAGAAAAAACACCAGCGAGCGAGCCATGATGGGAGCGGAAAAATGTCCACCCCGCCGTCCGAAAGCATAAGGTGTGCCTATGTTTCTTTAGGGTGAGCTCATGGGGAAAAAGAAAACCAGCCATGAGACAGATCCTTTACTTGGGGAAAAAAAACGAAAAAAAAATCAGCTGGTGGAAGTAGAATACAGTTTGCAGAAGAATGTGAACCCCATATTAATCAACCCCGGTTCATGACTAGGGGGGTGCCCCTTCGAATGTGGTGTGATTCCCCACTAAACCCAGGGACACCCCCTATTCATAAACTGGGGTTGCAACACTTACTGTGGATGGACGAATTCCAGAAATCGCACCACCAAAGAAACCACGGTTGAAACCATGACGTTTGTTGGTATTTACAGGGGAATCATCGCTCCGGGGTTTCTTAGGTGGTGCGATTTCTGTTTTTCGTCCATCCACAGTATAGGGAAAGGCACCAGGCACCGCAAAGTGGCGCATGTTGATCGACCTTGCCAAGAAAAAGGAAATGAGGAAATGAGCTAGCGGGAGGCTTCAAGAGGGCAAGGCACTCGGTTACGAGGGCCAGTGATGTAATCTTGGTTGGTGGTTTTCTTCAAACACAGCAGCCAACCAAAGAAGGGATGCCCCCTGAGTGCGTTAAATGGGACATGCTTGCCATCGTCACAATATGCTCTTGGGGTCTGTAGGGATGGTCATCCACTCTTTAAGTGGGATCTTGTGAATTCATTGACTCCCTCCACAAGGCTGTATCAAAACAAGGTTGGGCACGCGGCGTCCGATGACTCGTAGTGTCTACCGGACCAGTGGTGTCAATCGTTGTCAAAAACACGTAAGCCCCATCCTAGCGGTGCTTTTACAAAAAGCGCGAACACAGCAGGGAATCTGAGTGTTTGTTAAAAAGGATGGGTGAACATCATACAGGATCAACCCTTCTGTGGTCTAAAGGCGGGGCACCTCCGGCTTTTGTCTTCCACTTCCCCTTGAGAGCGGGGTTGCTCCAAAAATGAGGGGTGTCCAACCCTTAAGGGTGGAACTTAGGCCAACTTTTCTTTGGTTCGCCCTTTCCGGGACTGTACGGGACCCATTGGGTGTGGCCGAAGTCGGGATCTGATGTTTTAAAACGCCCATGTTTTTACTGCAGATCAACCTGAGGACAGCTCCGAGATCAGCGCTGCTTGCCTGGGCACGCCTGGGCCAATGCTTTGCGGCTCCTCCTATGCCTTCCTTTTGCCTCCGGCACCCGAGCGTGCGCTTACCAGGCCGATGTTCAACCCCCACTTTCACACTGGTCACTTTCACACTGACGTCATCATTTGTTGAGTCAACCTTGCTTTGACGCCTTTTTCCCCAGATAGCTGAAAGCTATAGGGGTTCTAACTTCTAACGAAAGGGGAAGTGATTTGCGAGATTGATGGGAGGGTGCCAGGGGGCGTGCAGTTTGGGTGCTGGTGTAGGTGCTGTTTGGGGTGCTGTTTGGGGCGCTGGTGAGATTGACGGCCGGGTGTTTAGCGTACCTGCAGGTGACGGTGCAGGCGCATGTTTGCAAGATTGACGGTAGGGTGCAAGCAGGCATGCAGTTTGGGGTGCTGGTGCAGGTGGTGCTTTGGGATGCTGCTGGGATGCTCTTTCGGGTGCTGTTACGTGCTGGTGACGGCGCGGGCGCATGTCTGCAAGATTGACGACAGGGTGCACGGGGGCATGCAGTTTGGGATGCTCTTTAGGGCGCTGTTTGGAGGCGTTAGTGACGGCGCAGGCGCATTTCTGCGAGATTGACAGCCTGGTGCTGTTTGGGGCGCTCTTCGGGGGGTGCTGTTGGAGGTGCTGGTGTGCAATCGGCGGCATGTGTTTCGCTATTTGGGGTCTATGCTGGTGTATTTTTCTCGGAAGGCTTCACATGTATTAAGCCATGTTCGTGAGGGTCCCACGTCCCTGCAGGCCCCGGCTGCGGGTCCGCTTTCAGCGGCGCAACGCGTTGGAAGCCTTCTTCCCCTTTAGCGAGGCGCACGCTGTGTGACGGGGGTCCCTACGTTTCCCTTCTCCTGTTCGACCACTCACTCCCTGAGTTTCTGGACTTTAAACTTTTTGGGAAGACCATTTTAGGGAATGAGCCAATTTCTCAAGAGCATTTGACCTTCGCGTGGCTCCACTTGCCAGTCGGCTCTGAACCGGTTTGGAAATCTGCCTTGGGCTGACACAGGGGTCCCTATTTCTCGTTATATTTCCCTTTTACGCCTCACCTGGTTGTCCCAAGAATTGAGAGTTTTCCACGGTACTGTGGATGGACGAAATCCTGCACCACCGAAGAAGCCCTGGAATGCTGATTCTCTTGTAAATACCAGGGAACCATGGTTTCTCATGGAAACAAAGTGGTGCGAAATGGATTTCGTCCATCCACAGGGTCCTCCTCCTGGTCAGTGTCACGAGGGTCCAAATTTTCCTTATATTTCCCTTTTACGCCCCACCTTTTTGCCCACGGAGACACATGTGTCAGGCGGAGCGCGATCGCCAGCCCCCCTCGCCGCTGCCCTGCGCTGTGACCGAGTGGTCGCTGCCCTGGCCAGGTGGCCCCAGCTTGCCAACGACGCCCGGCGAAGGCGATCAGTCTGATGCCTTCCTAGGGTACCTTCCCCGTTCTTTCCAGGGACCAACAACCCAGGGGAAACAGCCGGTTTTGGAAAAGAACGATGGTTGAAAAGAATCGGGAATCAACCCGTAGAGCCTGGAATGTGTGATTTTGTTTGACCTGCTATCTATTGCTTGGAGACGATTGTTGTTCACAGACAAAGCGCTTGCACACTTTTGCAAGGGGTGAACGGCTCTCAGGGATTGTTGTTTTGTTAACAATCATGTGAAACCCTGTTCCACCAAAAACACAAGGGACATAACATAAGTGCTTGGTCCAACCATGTTCAATCATGACCCAAACTTGACCAGCCAATGTTCCAAGCATGCTCCAAACCTTCTCCGAAAATGCTCCATCAGTGATCCACACTTGGTCCGAAATTGATCCCTCTTGGTCAACAAATGGTCCGGGCTTGGTCCAGAATTTGTCCAACGCAGATCCCGAATTGGGTCAGAATTGGTCATATTCTTGGCCATGTTTGTTTGCCGACAACGTGTTCTCGCCCCACCCAGGTAGTTCTAGCCCAGTCGTCTCACGTACGGCTTAAACCATTAAAATAGTGTTTCTGATTGCTTCCTGATGTTCGTTGTTGGATCCAATTCGGAGGGTGACGAAACGCAGTTAAACAAACAGAATCTACAAAGCAGCGTTTGGGTACCAAGAAAGCCGGACAACGAGCCCCACATTTCTTGACAAGTCTTTGCGCAATTTGGCGGGCAGAAACCCCGGACGGCCAAACAGCCTCAATGGGTTCTTGATCGATGATTACGATGTGTTTTTTGATATGAGTCTTTGCTCGGCTGCATCCTGCCCCACCAGTACTCGAACACGTCACATTTTTGGTCCAAACCCAATGTTGTCTAATATCCAAGGTTGTATCCGATTTTGTATCCGACTTGGTCTCCGAATACTTTTGGAGAGCAAGTTTGATCATGGATCCAATTTGGGATCCACTTTTTGCATCGGAGATGCTTACGATGTCAAATTCTGGCCTCGCCACCATCTCCCACACAGATCAATCGGGCTTGAACAATCATGTGAATGCAATTCACATGTCCTTTCAAAATTGGATACATAATTGGTTCCAAAATTACGTTCAGGTTAGAACCCTGACCGTCAGGCCCGAACACTCCATAACCCGTCCGAGATTGATTGCATCTATTGTCGAAGCACATGTTCACGACCAGCACCTTGCCGCTCAAGTTGCCCTGTACATATCGAGAGGGCTTCCATGGTAGTCCTCCACCCGGGCCCCATCCAGTTGACCAAATCCAGGTCTCAGACCTCACCAGTCCACAAATTCAGACTTCAGTCAACTCTTGACATTTGGAAGCTTCTCACATTTACGATTTCTGACATCAGTCAAGTGTTGACAGTTATGAAATTCTGACATTTGTCAAGTTCTGACAATGCCTGACTTTCGTCGATTTGCGACTTAAGGCACCTTTGACATCCCGGCTGTTGCGCATGTGCGGAAAAATAGGTTGACATGCATCTGAGGTGCTTGAGACCACAGTAACAGCAAGAATGGGCCCGCAGGATCAAGAAGTGGAATTGTTTTGAGGGTCCGTGCGACCCTCAAGGCACCGTTCAACCCGCCCATGCGATGTTTCCGAACCCGTGCCGATGGTTTTTCCAGGGGGCTGAAGCAAATGGAAGAACCCTGAAACTTCATTTTCGCCATCAAGTTTACCTGGAGAAAGAGGCCGGAAGGCCTCAGCAAGCGTCCCTGTCCCCGCTTTCCGGGTTAAACTTGAAAACGTGAGAATGCATGTTCAGGATTCGAACTGATTACTTTTGTTTTTGTTGTTTTTCTCGGAAGCCATCAAAACAAGAGGTTTTAGAACAGCGTTGTATTGTTTTGCGAATGGCGAGTCCTACTACTGCCACCCCCCCCCCTTTCCCCCAACCAAGGTTCAATGCATTTTGGGCTCCCACAGGGGGGTTTCGGGGAGGATCAAAAGACAGCGCACTCACTTCACACTTCACTATGACCCCAAGGAGTCGGCAGATATAGAGAGAGAGAGATGTATACAATGTACCTATATTCTTATTTGTCTCAATGTCTATACGGTCTATACGTATACCTCTATACATATACCTACCTGGCCGGAGCAGCATTTGTCCAGCTCCTGATTTCGGCTCTCCAGGCGCCAGATTGTGCCCCCCCCGTCCCCCCACCTCATGGTATGGTGCTCCTCTTGGGGGTCTCTGAGTAGCTAGGAGGGGAACTTTAGCACACTTGGACTATCACAGCCACATGTGTTTAAGTTTGCCCTCTAAACTCCAACAACTTCATTTGTTGTGATTCATGCAGTTATGCTTCTTCCTATGCCTTGCCATGCCTTTGCTCCTAGCACTTGCTCCCTACACATATCACAAGCAACACTTGCTCCTCATTTGGTAAATGGGTTGTTTTGTGCTACTTATCGCAATCAGTGTTGTATTGTCGGAGGTCTTTGTTGTCCTTCTTCCAGTGCTTACTTTGCTTTCAGCCGTTGTTCTTGAGTGTTCTATCTAGTATGTGGGCAACGGTTTCACGCAAGCATGTAACTTTTCCACACCTTGACTTCCACATTGCAGCGCTCTAATTGTTTTCTTTGCCCTCGCCGCCGCAAAACGCTCTCAAGGCCGTGTTGGGTCAGTGGCTCGCGTGATAGAGTGTGATCTGCCATTTCCTGAATGCATCTCTTGCGAGATGATTACTTGTCAGAGTTGATCCTCCGCTTTGCTTCGCTAGGGTCGTTGCAAGCTTTGTCGATGTCCTGCAGAACTTGGCGCGAACGCGCCTACAGTTTAGCCCAAGGTGCTTGGAGCGTGATTGACATGAGGGATTGGCCTTTCGCTGCCAAGGAGGTTCGAAGGATGAAGCGTTTGGATGAAGCGTTTGGCTTTGCGTCCGCAAAGGCGTGCTGCCAGAAGGGCGTCTGATACATTATACTTAGATGTCTCGTCGTGCACCAGCTCCGACGATGGCTCGCGTGGAATTTTCCGATGCAATCCGGGGGGCATTAGGTGAAGGATGATGCAGTTCTACCTGCGGGCCTGGCCGTCGAACGCAAAGGCAACTATTATTTTCTGATACTGATCTGTGGCATGCGCTGCGCCATTGGCTGCCGGGCTCGTTACGGTCCCTCAAGTGCCAAATTTCATGGGTCAGGTCAGTTCGTTCGGGATTTGGGTGTTTTAAGGTGCTAAAAAAGAATAAGGGTTTTTTACTCAAACTTAAGGGTTTGCCAAAACCAAAAAAAGAAAAGCCCAGATTTTGAAGCAAATCTCAAAGTGTACTATTGATGCCAGTTTCCTCGAATCAAGAATCAATTTGCTTGCTTCCCAGGGGACCGCGCCGTTTCTGCGCGCTAAGCCTTAGGGGTAAGACAGCTTGACGCTCCTGCTGAAAGGGGTTTGGGGTCATCTAAACAGAAATGAGTCTTGGCCGCCAAGAGGAAAGGGCTTGAACTGCTTTCCGGGAAAAACTTAACTATGAAACCGCCTCTTCTGTCCGCAGCAAAATGCGTTGTGTTGGAGCCCAAATTCTGCTCGTATTTTGGCAGATTGGGCTTGCGTTTGCGGCAATTGCGAGTTTTCACAAAGAAAGCAGCGATCTGCAACAAATCCTGCATGGGCACATTTTTTGGGTTCTGGCCACACACTACATAATACGGAGCAGAACGTGTTTTTCTTGGTAGGCGTTTCTCAGAGGCCCCAGGTTCCTCGTGAACCAACTCCGAACAAACTCCAAGCGAACTCCGAACTCCGAACGAACTCCGAATGAACTCCGAACAAACTCCGAGCAAACTCCGGACAAACTCCGAACGAACTCCGAACGAACTCCGGGCGAGCTCGGAACAAACTCCGAACAAGCGAACAAGCTCCGAGCAAGCTTTGTCATTGGTTGATTTCCGAACAAACCCCCGAGCCAACTCCGAATACACTTTGGCCATAAGCATGTTTTTGAGCCTAAGTATTTTGGCGGTCAAACTGTTTTTGTTGCCTTTTTTCTGGCTTACCAAAAGAGGCCAAGTGATTACAGGGGCCAGTTTCAACAAGTGGCCTGGGAAGGAGTTCAGGGCCGGATTTGTAGGACTTCAGAGCTGCGGAGGGCTAAAATCGCTACCGGGGTGATCACGCAGCTTGGTTGACGCTGAGGCTCGCTGTTGAAGCTGAAACAAAGCTTAATCCTTTTGATCAAGGCTTAATCCGGGAAAAAAATATTATTCCAAAAAAAAGAGCTTAAGTTCAACACCGGTGTTGAACTTAAGGGTTTGCCCGATTTGTGTAATGGCTTGCCCGATTTTGGTCGTATGAAATAGCTGTTTTCTCGCATGAAAAGCCTGGATTAAGCATGTTTCAATGTTTTTTTTTGCCCTGGTAACACTAAATTTGTACGAAAAACGCATCAACAAGCTGTAATTCCAGTGTTTTTGTACGACCAAAACCCAAAAAGTTCAACACCGAATAAAAAAAAAAGCTCCAAAAAAACTTAAGGCCAAAGTTCGTTCGGAGTTCGTTCGGAGTTCGTCCGGGGCAAGAATTAAGCCCCGAAAAAAAACCATAAGCAAAAATCACAGCCTGAAAAAAAAACGAGCAATAAAACAAGACAAAGCCGAAAAAACTGAAACTTAAGGCCGACACACCAAAATCAGCTCCCCCAAAGAAAAATATGGCCAAAGTTTGTTTGGCGCTTGTCCGGGAAGTAAATCCAGCCCGAAACATACATAACAGGAAAATCAAGTGACCAAAAGAACTAATTTCAACAAGTGGCCTGAGAACATGTTTGTTTGCCTCAAAAAACACCTTCCCAGGCCACTTGTTGAAACTGGCCCCTGTAATCACTTGGCCTCTTTTGGTAAGCCCGAAAAAGCAAAAAAAACAGCTTGGCCACCAAAATACCTGGGCTCAAAAACATACTTATGGCCAAAGTGTGTTCGGAGTTGGCTCGGGAACAATGCCAAAGTTCGCTCGGAGCTTGTTCGCTTGTTCGGAGTTTGTTCCGAGTTCGCCCGGAGTTCGTTCGGAGTTTGTTCGGAGTTCGTCCGGAGTTTGTCCGGAGTTCGTTCGGAGTTCGCTCGGAGTTCGTTCGGAGTTCGTTCGGAGTTCGTTTCGTTCGGAGTTCGTTCGGAGTTCGTTCGGAGTTCGTTCGGAGTTCGTTCGGAGTTCGTTCGGAGCTTGTTCGGAGTTCGTTCGGAGTTTGTTCGTTCGGAGCTTGTTCGGAGTTGGTTCACGGGGAACCTGGGGCCTCTGAGAAACGCCTACCAAGAAAAACACGTTCTGCTCCGTATTATGTAGTGTGTGGCCAAAACCCTAAAAAATGTGCCCATGCAGGATTTGTTGCAGATCGCTGCTTTCTTTGTGAAAACTCGCAATTGCCGCAAACGCAAGCCCAATCTGCCAAAATACGAGCAGAATTTGGGCTCCAACACAACGCATTTTGCTCGTACAGAAGAGGCGGTTTCATAGTTAAGTTTTTCCCGGAAAGCAGTTCAAGCCCTTTCCTCTTGGCGGCCAAGACTCATTTCTGCTTAGATGACCCCAAACCCCTTTCAGCATGCGCATCAAGCTGCCTTACCCTTAAGTTTTTTTTGGTGTTGAACCGAATTCCCCGCGCAAATTGGCACCCTCAAGGCGTTCGGTTCCCGAATGACCTGTGCTTGTCTCGCATCGGTGTTGAATCCTCACACCACATCGCTCGCAAGTTTGTAGCTTAGCTGGGGCCCTTCACGCGCTGAAGGAAGTTCGGCATCGAGGTTCGGAAGGGACGAATTGGAAGCTACTTTGTTACAGTGTTCGTCCTTGCAGCTCCTTGAACTTCACGGGAACATCATCAACCCACCAGTCCTTAGTTCATTGACAGACGTGCGACTCAAAGATTGCAATTAGTCTATGTGGGTGTCGGCAGCTTCGGGTGCTTGTGCTTGAGGGCGGCCGCGACAACTCAGTCAAGGTAGAGCAGGCGCTGGCCGTGCTGATGGCCTGTGCCGAGCTGAGGACGATCAATTTGTATACCTCAGGGCTGGACATATCGAATGAGATCTTGGCCGCCGTGATTCGGCATTGCAGACACTTGGAATGCTTCTTTTCCGTCAGAAAGAAGTTTGCTTTCGGACTTGGTCGAAGCGTGGACTTCCCCTTTCACGGCGGGGATCGACCCTTGCCAGCGGGAGGCCTTTGCAACGAAGCCATATCGGCCTTCCACAGTATCTTTCCCTCCGCCGAAATCCTCATTGATGACATCGAAGGGGAACGATTGAATGCAAGAGGCTTTCGATGAATTGCTAGGTGATTCCGACAACGACACCGGTGAAGGTGCGGTTGGCTTTGCCGGTTGACGTTTGAGCATGTTTGCACACATTGGTTCCAGCCGCAGATTGCGCGTACAGAGCCGTTTTCTGAGCCACAGGGCACGGCTGTTGTGTTTAGGAGATGTTGAGACACCGAAGCATCATTCCGATGGCAGGACAAACGGCCGGTGTCGCCGCTACACTTTGAGGGGACCCGCTCGTAGCCAGTCTTACAGGGAGCTTGTGTCTCAGGGTACCATGGTTCCGGCTGGGATGTAGTCCCAATGCACCCTCTCCTTTGGGGGGGGGGAGGGGTTGGAATGAATCTCCCACTCGCTTATGCAACAGCGTTCTGTGGTTTCTTCCCAACACGGTGTGAGCTGGAGGTCTGGGTTTGTGAGCCAACGCCAGCCAAGGATGCAGGTTGAGCTTGACGTATGCTCCACTGGCACGGTGGGCGCTCCATTGGCAGCCGCTGTGCGCTTGAAGCATGCCGCCATCTCGGACCATGACGAGATCCTTTGCTCACAGGGTGGAGGGTGGAGGCGGCCCATGGTGCAACAAGTTAAATCCGACAGGGTGAAAGTAGATGTCACAGTTCTCATGGACATGCCCAAATATACGCGGTGACTAAGCCAATATTAAAGCATGCCATGTGCAGCCAATTGTCAACTGGGTGGTTTCCCTTTTGGGGATCTTTTCAGGGGAATTCCTTTGTTGACATGTCTACGTGCCCTTGGTTCGCACTCGAGATATAAAGAAATCATTCAATCCAACTCACATGACACATTTGTTTTTGTTCCCCAGTTCTTGCCCCTTGGTTCTTGGGGCAAACAGTCCAAACCTCTTGCGCTCGAGGATCAAGATCCGGATCATGCCGGGCGAAGGGGAGGCAGGCTGTGGGCCGACGGATTGAGCTTTTGGCGAAAAGGGAATCCAGTTGCGGATGGGTACCACGTCAGCCCAGGGTACCGGCGGGTACCACGTCGCCCCTTGGATTATGCGTTCTGGAAAGAATGGTTGGGGGGTGGAGGCCCTGACATTTTTTAACAAAAGCACGTCATCCCGTTGAACCCAGGAACAAATGTTTGGCATGTGCGGACGATGTGGGTTTTTGAGGGGTGGTTGTACCCTGCCATAATTTGATGACATTGAACAGCGGAGTTCCTCGGTGTCTGTCCCTGCTTGAAGGGCGGGAGCCCGGGTCGCATTGCGGAAAATCGGTTCCGAGTCGGCAAAAACACGAAAATTGCAGACAGTGCTTCCCAACTAAGGTCAGAACAGTTCATGCCCGTGCCCGTGGTCAAGAACCCCAGGAATAAGCAAAACCATGTTCCTGGGGTGGACCAACTTGTTTTCCCTGAGGGTGGCCCACATGTGTGGACTCACCCTTGGAGCAAGTACTACAGGCCAGGGTAGCCAGGGGGAAGACTTGGAACTGGTCATTTAGTTCAACCATGGTATAACCAGCCAAGTTGGTTGAGCATCTATGTACGAGCTCAAGCACGTACCCGTGGGGTATGTGCCCGTAATTTCTGGCCCGCTCACTTGGGGGCAAAACGAGCCTAAACCGATCCTGGGGTCCAAGTCTCGGAATTCAATCGCAGGTGTCGGACAGGTACCTGCTCTCCGGCCCGGTCTGCTACCAGGCAGCGGTGCCTGTTGGCAAGGACCCCAACGAGGCCATCCCCGGCTTCGCGCTGATCCCGTTGAAGGCGAAAGGGGCACTGGGGTCAGGGCTCGCTAACTAGGCACGTTTTTTTGAGAGTGCCCTTTCTGGGTTTGCGGTGCAAGTCACAACCGTGGCACTTGTGCTTTGAGAGGAAACAACTAAGCAGCACCGGGAGATATTGACCCATACTTCTTGTTTGGGTGGCTTTAAACATCGGAACCCGCTAGGTGGGGGGCCAACTCTGAAAACTGGAAGTCCGTGGAGGATGATGTTCTTGCTGTTCTTGCCTTTGGGTGTATTCCATGTTTCCGGGCTGTAAGCAGGAAGGGTTGTTCAAGGTTTGAGACTATCGTTTGGAAGAAGCAACTACCAATCTTGGGAGACCCTTTCAGAAATGCTGGATTGTTCGAGTATGTCATTCATCCCAAGTGCTCTGTGTCGTTCCGTTTTGGATTAGGATTGGGGATCCACCCTGCAACCCAGTTTGGGTTTTGGGGTGGAAAGTTGCCTGCCCATTTGGTTCATGAGGGTATGCGCGAGTGCTTGAAGAACATTTAAGGGAACCAAGCTCTGGCTTGGGCAGGCATACTCGTATTTACACTTGACTTCATGTTCTTGCTTTTCTCCGCTGCCAAGCCGAGCTGGGGTCGAAGAATCATCATTGGGAACCCTCCCTATTCTCTCCTCGTTTGATTCAGGCCCCCGCAAGGCGAGCCAACTTCAAGGGCCATGAGCTGCCCATGCCCCTCAATTGGGTCTGAATCAGCAAAGTGATTTGGGAATGTCCTTTTCAGACGAAAGCATTGGGGCTCCGAATCCGAATTCGATATACATATATATACATATATATATATATATATAAACTCAATGTATATGTATGTATGTGCATGTATGCATAATGCATATCTCTACATGTGTATGTGTATATATATATATATATATCTATGTGTGTGCGTATGCATGTGTACAAACATATGTATATATATACATGTCTACAAGCAACCCAATCCCAATGCGAGCCCACCTCGCCCATGTTCGACATGTCCGAGGCGGGGTGGCTGTCACTGCCGCGGGTGCAGGTGAACTGGGGCACCCAGGAGGCCTGATGAGGCTAAAGAGTGGTGTACGTAGGTGTCCTTTTTGGTTTGTTTCAAAATTTGAGGGCGATTCCTGGCTTACCTGGTGGTTCAATCAGCTACCAGGAAAATCCATCTATTTCCCCAAAAAGGACACCTATGGTGGTGTGTCTGTCACTCCCTAACTGAGTTCCTGGACTTTAGGCACTTTTTGCGTTTGGGCAATTCATTTTAGCGGCGTGCACTCAGGAAGTGAGGAGCCTTGTTTTAGCCTGAGGCTGGATCTTTGTACTTCAACTTTGCTTTTGAAAGCAGCAGATTTCCATTGAACCCACAAAAAGCTAAACCTTTTGAGGAGGGCTCCACAGCAACAAAGTTAGGGGATGCCCAAGCTGGAACCACAAGAATCAGGTCACAAAAGGCACATCCAGATGGTCGTAGCTCCCCTTGTTGCAGTGAGTTTTCCCTGTTGAAGCGGGTTTTACTTGTTTCAGTGGATTTCCCCAGGCCCACAGTTGGTTGCTTGCTCTATTTTTTTTTGGAGGGGTGAGACCCTTCAACAGAAACTACAAAATCAGAGTGCCTTTTTCCCATAGATTTCTGGATTTCCACTCTTGAGGCGGTTCCCTTTTAGAACAGGCCAAGTGGTATTCCCAACAGCCCCGGAACCCTCCTTTTCAACCCTCCCTCAAAGCTGCCTCAAACTACCCCGGAGCCCATTTGGGCAGAGACCCCATAGCTTTCAGCTGGGGGAAAAATCGCTCCCATTTCAATCCCCGAGGCGTGCAGTTCGACCAGCTCCGTCTTCATCTCCCCCGCCGGCGCCGCCCTATGGCGCGCCTGACGGGTCGATCCGACGGCTGACAGCTTGGAGTCGGACGGCGGAGAAAAAACGCGCGGAGAAAAATGGGAAGGTGTGGCAGCGTGTTCAAAGGCACTCCCTTGTCCTTACCTTGGGTTACCCCTTTGCAGTGGTTTTCCAAAAGGGGTTGTGGACTGGGATTGAACAAGCGTCCATTGACTGGGTTTGGACTGCCCCCACCTGTTAGTGGAGGATGGAACTCTGGATCAACCACCACTAAAACGGGCTTCCAAACAGTGGTCAGTACTGTTGGCTAAGTCACTACTCTGATGGACAAAATCCACAAGTTTTTGTTTGCGTCTTCAATGCGGCATGCTGTCCATGGACAGCATACAAATGCAACATGGTGTAAGCTTGATTTAATGCTTCAGTGTGACGTAGGCTTATTTCAGGTTTTTGGAATTTATAGTGAACTATCCAGGTACGTGGTATGCTCCGTGTGTGTTTAGCCCACGTTCGGCATGCAGGGTGCTAACCAACAGCAGTAGGCGCGTCACTAGTTGCAACCTACTTTCTTACTTCACTGTTCTTAGCATGACTTTTTTTTTTTTGGGGGGGGGGTCTTGTTGAGGTTTACTGCAAAACACAGTTTTGTGCTACCATACCAAGGGTTGCGAAGTTTGAGTTGGTCGAGGGGACGTCCACCGAAAGCAATTTGTACTTGTCCATTTGCCTAATAATATGTTGTATTTTTCCCTGTTGGTTTTAAAGGGAATCTATCACTACTGTTTTTTGTTTTTTCCGCAGTAGACTTAAGCAAATGGAAGTACTTGTGCTTCTCAAGCCAAGAAGCCTGCCAGCCATTTCTGGGCCCAAGGGGCTCGGAGATGAGACAAAGGGGACCCTAAATTGAGTTCTAATCAACCGGGTTCCAGCTTGCACCAGACGATACCCATATGTGTAGCATACAGAACCCGACTCCTAGAACCCATTTAGGGTCTGCCAAATGCTTGCAGGATGGCTTCTATTGTCGCGCCTTTTGCTTTGCAGTGGTGTGGATGAATGGCACTGCCCAAATTCAGCAGCACTGTTGGCAAGCCCAGGTGTGCCTGGAGGTGAGCAGAAGCATTGGTCCAGGTTTGCGTCAGAGACGCTAGCAGCAACTCGCCAACTGCCCGAGAAGGTGTTCCATATCAAGAACTTCTCTCAACTTCGCTTCAGGTTTCCCAAGAGCACGCGTGGCGAGCACTACCTGGAGTGGCAGACCATAGTGCAGAGTCTGAATGGCACAGATCTGCTGCCCGAGCCTTTCTACCTGCCTTTTGTGAAACCAGGGAAGCTTTGCGATCTGGAGATTTCCACGCCGCTCTTCGTGTACCGGGGCTTTTCCCCAGAGGCCTTTCAGTTCGGTCACATCCTGCACGACGCATCTTGGGTACTTTTTCGTTCGCAAAGCCTTTGAACTTTTGCATGTTCCTCCAATTGCAAACATCGTTTTGCGGAGGGGGGAAAGACGACCAACGAAGGTACTGCCCATGATCGTTTGGGTGGCCACCAGGTACCCAGGTGTCCAGATTGCCATTCTGCGCGATGTTAAGGGCACGTTGGAGTCGTTTCTGCAGTGGCTTGATGCCGACTTGGCGCAGATGGTAACTCTCGTTCCTTCCGGCGCGGCCGTGTGTGCCATGAATCATTGCCAGACTTAGCCTCACTTACCGAGTGTTAGGACTTTACATTTAGTGGGCTTGAACTAGTTCATATAATGGTAAATAACATGTGCAGGGCCTGATCCACTTTGCAATTGAGTTTTCCCTTTTGCCCTTTGGTGAAACCCGCGTTTCCCTTTTCACCAGCAGTTGACTTTTTGCAACGGGTCGGAGACGTTCGGACGAGGAACGACGTTCTGATGATGATCCCGGGTGAGGAAGTCCTGCGGCCCGAACAGCTTCGGATACCGGCGTTGATGACCAGCTTGCGCGGCTTTGTGTTTCAGCGTAAGCAGCTGCAGCAAGTGGACAAGGTGGGTGTGCTAATTGTTTGAGGCTGGGTGCCTCCTCTTGTAAGGTTGGTTTAAGGGGGGATCAAACTGAGAACCACGCAAAATAGGGGCCCCCGTATTCTGACACATACGCAGGTCATTTACTACCAGCGGATTCGTGGAGCAACAAGTCATGGGCGACTCTTCAGCGAAGCTGATTCAATGCAACTCGTGAACCTTGCCAGGGGCGCATTGCGCGCACAGAACAAGTCTGACCAAATCGTTGTGTTCAATGGCACCCAGAATGGTGTCCCCATGACGTTCGAGGAACAGTATAGGCTGTTTAGCTCTGCATATTTGGCCTTCGGGCCACATGGGACTGGCTTAAGCAATGTGCTGTGGATGCAAGCGACGGACTGCTTGTCCCGTCCAGCTGTGATTGAGTTCATGTGTTCCTTGGATACCTCGAAGCATTGCCGGACTTGAGTATGTTTTCCCTTTAGTGTTTCCTTCATATGTTTCCTTTTTGCCAGCAAGAAGTTAACGTTGGAGCCATGCTCTCATTTCGTCGGAGCGATTCCCCAGGATCGTGTGTTTGCGCTTTTCGCTGGTTTCCGTTTTGTGGCCCACTCCAGTAGATCCCTAAAACATGTTCCATCTTCGCCGCGCTGCGGGGTCCGTTTGGCCAAGGAAGATGCGCGGGTGCTTCGTACAGGTGGGAAAGCGAAAGCTGCCGCGGCCAATGACCTACTGGCGCTTGCACGGTGGAGCGCCCTGGGTCCGGTACTTCATCGTATCCTTGCCAGACTTAGCTTCCGATGTTTGCCTGTTTAGTGAACCGTCGTCCTTTTCTCACTTCCTGAGTTCCTGGACTTGATGCTACTTGATATTCAACATGCACAAATAAAGCAGTCGCAAACCAAAACTGTTTAGACAAGTGAGTTGACGTTTTGGATTTCGATTCGGGGACGTTGCTTTGGAATCATTTTGCGGGCCTCCCTTGCTCATTGCCAGACTTAGCTTGCCATTGTTTGCCCTTTTTGCCCTCTTGTTCTTGAATCAAGCAAACACTTCACCTTTCGCAGATCCTTTTGAACAGAGCGTGAAACGGGGGTTGGATCCGTGCCCAGGTATGGCTCCTTCGGCATAAGGAAGACGCGCACTTGGTCCGAGTGGACTTGCCCGGCTTCGAGATGGCGCTGGCTCAAGCTTTGCAGCCAGGGGATGACATGATCTAATGATCTAGTTGCTTCGGCAGGGCAGTTCCATGGTACTCGAACCAAACCCATAAACCCAGTTGCCAACCAGCGAGAACCTGCCGGGTTTGTTTGTCATAACATAGCTGATCTGAGTTCCTGGACAAGAAGGTCACTTTTTAGATCTGCACCATACAGCAGGTTTGGACTGTGGGCAATAGGGACAATTCCCACTGAAGTGTTATTTTTGCCTGGGTTTGGAATTTGTGTAGAATTTGCAGCTGTTAGATTCCATGTCACCTGCAGAGGTGTAAACAGTTTAAGGTCTGTCTTGTTTGAGGTTCTTTCTGGGACCGGTTCCCTCCCGCTAGCATGGAGCCTGACTGGGGTGGAATCCCTTTCAGTTTGGTGTGTCCGGGAGCTCCTAAATATGGAATCAACCTCGAAATCACTTCAGAAATGCTCCGGAAGACCGACCAGTGACTGGAATTCCGCTGAGGCCGTTTCCCAACCAAACGGTTGCAATTCCCATGTGGTTCGGTCCGGATGACTCCGATGTTTGGAGAGCTCTCGCCGGGATGAGGCGCAGAGGCGCTTGCCATGTCGCCAGCCCTAAGGACTGGCCAAATGGAGTTGCGAGACGAAAGCGCCAAAAAGCGCCAAGAACCATGCGGGTTTGTCTCAGAGGGCAGGGCAACATTTTTTTTAATCCTCGCGGTTTCCTTTTGGACCAATCAAGAAATTGACTCGCCATGATCAAGCAAGTCGAATTTGTAATCAGTTGATTTGTACAATGTGGGTTTGTCTCGTCCCAAAATGGTGGCAGCCAAAACACGCTATGCTCAGCACGACGTGGTTTGTCTTAAAATAAGGAAATAGAAGTCCTGAGTTGTTTCCGCAAAAGCCTTTCTGTACTTGCCTTGGGCCTTGAGGGTATGAGGAAGTTTCAGGTAGCCCCAAATAAGGTGGTTTGGATTGGTTTCGCGTTTTGAACCTCTGGTTCTTGTGGATGGTAAATGGGCGCCACCCCTGACCACCAAACCGGGCTCCAATTAGTGGGAAGATGATATTTGGGATTGGTTCCCCAAGTTCCAACATGGGGTTGCCTTAGAAGGAACTCAACTAGCCTTCTGACCTGCCCTTTTCTTGCTGGTTCTCAGGGAACGTGGGAATGAACAAGTCGGGGTCGCCTTTCAGGGAACTACACAGGGATGGTTTTGTTTTTCTTGGGCAGAACATGGGACAATCTCAAGAGGCCTTCTGAAGCCTTCAGCCATCTAGACCAATGTGTTTTTCCTCTCTGAACAAGGCTTTCCAAGATTGCAAACGCATCACACGCAAACCACTCCCTGGGAAAACTATGTATATGCCCATTGGCTAGGTAGTGGTTGTATATCACATTACCGGGGAAAAGTGGCTGGGAGTAGTGGAAGCCATTTAAGAGGTACTTGCCCAATCCCAGGATGTGTTTAGCAACAGTCGCCAAGGCCAGTTCTGCTGCTGGCCTCTGACAGCTTGCCGCCCAGATGGAGCATCGCAGGAACGCTGGCCATATGTTTTGCCTTTGTTGAACGGAGGTCCCGGCGGTGGATGGATAAAACCGACTTCGAAGCCATGTTAGTTTCCCTTTGAGGCATTTTAAAAGTTTCCCTTCAACTGACCACCAACAAGCATGGACGTGCACAGACCACCTTTGGAAGACTATTCTCCTCAATAAGAGCAACTTCCATAATTGTTGGTGGGACGGTAAGCAATGTTTCGAGTGGGGCGATGTTTCAAGGGAGACGGGCATGGAGCTGCAAGTTACCTTGCACCCTCGGTTTTACCGCAGGCGGTGCGTCACAAGTTCTGACAAATGACTGCCAGCTTGCATCGCGTAAATGCTTGTTCGCCTGAAGGTTGGTCGGCGTTTGGGTTGCGGTAATGGATGGAGTGAGCAATGATCATGTTCCTAGGTCAAGATGTAGTACCGGTACCCTGTAGTAAACTGACGGTGAGACATATGTGAACCCTAAGTTTCGCTTGTTACATATGATTATGGTACAACTTTGAACACAGGCTAAGGCCCTTGAACGACGGAGTTGGGGGCCAAAACATGTCGAAGTCACTGCTGAGCTGTCATGTTTTGACCTTTCGATGGGCTTGCAGGTTGTGCCGCGTGGACTGTTTTGGCAGACCCCGATTTTGGGGTTCCACTGAACGTGCACGGTACAACTCCTTTGCAGGCTCGTTCCCCGTTCCCACGATCCGCTGGCTGAACACATCGAGCTGGGTTTTCTGCTCGCTCCGCCCGATGTCCGAGATGACCGCCTGCTGATTTCGGACAAGGAAGCGAAGCGCCTGAGGCTCGACGATATCTGGATCCCCCCTGCCCAGAATTGCATGCCATGTCTTGTTTTGGTGGAGATGCAGTCAGTTTTGTCCTTTCGATCCTAGAATTATCATAGTATGTTCTGCATACATCATGGCCCCATAGCGCAGAACTCCTTTTGGTATGCCAAACTTGCCCCCTTCAGCTACCTTCGCCAGAATAAGACTTTCATTGGGCGCTGCACAGCTCAGCTGAACCGGCTTATGGTCATAGCAACTGGTTGCCAGTGGTTGCAATATGTAATATGCCCCTTAGTTTGGCTTTGTGCACTATTCGTTTCTTGCAGACTGAAGTAGCCAAATGGAAAGCACGCCTTGGTTCTTTTCATTTGCCTACGGACACCTCATACAAGCCTCCTCTCAAATAGAGAACCCATTTCAACCACCTTTGGAACAACCCACACCATTGAACTTTGGCAATCCATTCCTACTACAGGCTCCCATGTGCCCACCTTTCCCACGACAGCGGTTCAACTCGGCTACTACTCGGTTACCCTGCGAAATCTAACAGCTTTTGGACATTTACAATCATTTTGGGATACGTTGGGCTTTGCAAATACATACCGACCAAAAGGGGGGTCCACCATTTTGAAACTCACACATTTACCAAAACAAAAGGCGACTTTTTCTGCAGAGATCGCCTGAAGACAACCAAGTTCACCTCGAGTTCCGCCGAGCCGACTCGTCAGGGGACTTCTGCAGGCCAGATGCGGTCCACGTCAACTGAAGGCCCGGGAATTCGACGAAGTTCGAAGCATACTGTATAAGCACCTCGTTGAGCGGCTTTTGGCATCGGGTGGGCCAAAGGGAGTTTCCCTTGGTGGTTCAGCCATGTTTTGGGTGGGTGAAAGTGGTTCTATGATACGTTGCAATATGTTGACTTCCTCTTTGTGGAGACTCTCACTCCCCGAGTTCATGGACCGTGAACTTTTTGGGTTTGGACCATTTTAGTGCCAAACAGAAAGGTTGAAGTTTTTTGGCCAGCTCACTCTCCAGAAGTGAGACAGGGACCGCTGGCAATGAGGTCGTAGAGCTGAAAGATGCCGGCCATGCGCCGCTGGACAATCGCGTCAACGTGGCAGACATGCTGAAGGAGCCAACGAATCCGCCCGAATTCGGTTTGGGTTGGGCATGTGTTTCTAGTAGCCCTCCCCTGAAGGCGGAGGGTTTGTCCCCGAATGCTGCTTTCTTTCATATCATGGGTGGTTTCCCTTTCAACCACTCCCAAAAGAATGGCACCCACGATCATGTTTTTGCTAGGCACACTGTTTTTGGTTTGAACAGCCAAGTCCTGGCACTTAACTCAAGGGAAGCCCAAATGAGGTTGTTGAAACAATGCTGCGGATGAATCTAACTTCATTTCGTGGTAAGGGGATGGCTGGACATTCGCCAAAATACCATGAACATAGACAGTGGCTCACATCAGGTTCTACGTTTAGATTTTGAGTCCACAACAATAAAGAAGTTCCATGGTCTAAGGCTTTCCTCCGCTCTTTGGTCAGGCTATTTGGCAGCGTCGAATCCGAGACAAACCAACAACAAATCACCGGAAGACTTGAATTATTGTACCCAGCCTGGCGTTTGGAAGGCCATGTGGGGACGCCATGTGGGGACGCCATGTGGGCCGCAGGACTCTCCGATCTGCAAGCCGCCGCCTTAGGTTTCGAGGGTTTGGCGGGTCCTGCTCGGTACCGTTCCCTCGTCAGGTGCGTGATTTCAACAAGGGAACAAGGAAGTTCACCAACCAGTTGCCAACCCTTGTTGATGTAGGACCCGGTGGGTGGAACATTCAAACCCGAGCAACAGTCAATGCCCATCAGAGTCCACTGCTGCCGCGCAAAGTTTCAACCAGAAGATGCGTCCCTTCTGTGGCTGTCTCCAGCTTCTATGGTCCCGGCGTTTCAGGGCCAGCGCCGCAAGGGAAAGGGCAACCAGTGACAAGCTTGTAAAGGGCAGACCCAGAAGAGAAATGACAACCAAGAACCTTACCAGCTCAGAGAAAAAAAAAGTCGAACCCAAAAGGAAGCAAATGCGCAAGTGCCTTCCAACGGGATATTCCTCTCCAAATTGTCGGTTGCACAAGGTTTTGGAGGGGGGGGGGGTATTCTTTCAATCACCCCCCAACCCCTGGGTACGTCTGAGACTCGCAGGGGCGTACGTCGTGCCGCGCGTTTTTTAGCCCAGGAAGCCCAAGAGCCCGAACTATGTCGGCCCGGGGCCCAGCGGGAGACGACGCTGTTGATTTGCTTTTTTAAAAGCTAAAGCTCCAACAGATGAATATGGAACCCAACAGGCCCCCCATTTTTGGAGGAAGCTGTTTTGGGGAGACCCCCTTTATGCTAGTTTAATGGGGAGTCGCCCCCACCCCCGCCCCCCCCTCCCTCCATTTTGCCGCCCACTGTTCTTGTGAGCCAAACGCCTACTAAATGACATTGCAATGCATTGAGCAGTGACTTGAGAAGCAAGATTCCACAAAAACCATGACAAGATATAGTTACAACTGCAGACCGTTGTGTTTCTGGGTGACTTTATTTTTTCGCTTGGGTTTGAGGAGCCGTCCGCCGATGCGCCCATCAATCCAATCCGAGCTGAGATGATTTCGAGTTCCCCACGATGGAAGTCCTAGAGAAAGGCTCCGGCAACATCGAGCCGATCGCAAGCTTGGTGCCTCACTGGCGTGATTGTCGGACACCTGCGCAAGAGCATGGGGGCGGGGGTGGGGGTGGGAAGGGGGAGATGGGGGAACCCGCAATACATGTCGAATCCAACCCCCACCATACCTTGCTACATGGTGGTAGTGCAGGCTCCAAAGGGGAAGAGGGTTGTGCCACCGGTCGATCGCGTCCAGAAGCCCGTGCCAGGTCTCCCGTTTTCTGCAGCTGGGATGCTGCCACGGGCAGACGGAGGCACGCTCCCGCAGGTCGCGCTGGTAAAAGTCCCAGTCCAGTGGCACCAGTGGCACCCTCAGAATTCCATGACCGGTGTTGGGCGAGTTTGGGCGGTCATTTTGGTTGAGCTTCCCCATTGAAGGGGCTGACATTTTGAAGGGGACAACCAAGTCAAGTCTTTGTTGTTGCTGTTGGCGTGTGTGCCGGTGTTTTCATGTTGTTTTTGTCTCTTCGGTTCTGCAACTCGTTTGTAGTACAGCCGGGCTGCAAAGATCATCGCGAAGAAGTCCGGAGGAAATGTTTGTCGTCAATGCTGCAACGTGGTGCTTTCAAGGGCGTGGGTCTGAGACAATGGGTCACCATCCCACTGTTCTTCTGTCGTAACTTAGGCTTCGCGTGAACGAAGCGTGTGGTTTGTACGCATATGGTTGGCAGGTGCCGAAAGCGAACAGCAGCGTGGTTTTAAGATGTTTGAAGCGAGCGACCTTATTGATGCTTCAGTTTTTTTGGTGGGTTGATTTCCGTGCATGCCTGTAATTTTCGGAGAAACATCACCAAATGGTTCTGCGGTGCATTTTTGCGAGTGCAAGCTGACAAGGATGGACGAACCGGTAACATGCAGAAGGTAGCAGATGTGTGTCAGGGGATGTGTTTCCACCTTGCTGTTCTTTGAGTGCGCCAGTTGCAAGCTGGCTGCGATGCGTAAGTGGAGGACCCCTGCCAGAAATGGAGGACTCCGATTTGAACAAACACAGGTGGGTTGTGTCTTTGTTCGGGGAGCCCCATTTTGGGTGGGAAGGGAAGCACAAAGGGAACCCGAAGTTAACGGAGTTCCGACCACGAAACAAACCCATTTGCAGAAACGACTGTCGGAAAGTGGGTCTGGGTCTTCCGGCAGGTTCGGCCTGGATGGCGTTCCAGATCCCAAGGAGCTTGGGCGACCAGTCATTTTGGCGCACCTGCCTTGGTTGAGTCGGTTGTGCTCTGGAGTTGGTTTCGAAAGGGGCACCGCTGAAGAAGCATGTGGTTTTCCCTTGAAACATCGCCCCCCCAAAAGGTGCCCTCTCAAACGCGACACCCAGATCCAGTATTTTGGTGGGCCTCTTGGTTTTGGTGTGGCTCTTTTGCTCACTTGTTCAAAGCGAATCGACCTTTTGACCTTTTGGTTTTCCTGTTTGATGTTTTTTTAAGGTCCCAAAAAGGTGATCACCTTTACTTTCCAGGTTCCAAAAGGGCAAGCGAGTCTGGGATAGACGCACCCGATTTCGTGGCGCCAGGTGGGCAACCACCAGCTCTTTGCGCTGGACTTGGGCCCTTTGGCCTGGGACGCCCAGTGATCAACTGGAGGCCGAAACTGGTTTGGGGTTGGATTAACACGGTCCTCACGGAAACTTGGCCCAAGTGAAGGCTGCTTCTCCCAAAAGGGCCACCAAAACAATGCATGGGTGGGTGTTGGGTCCCCTAAAATTCTTATTAAAAAAAGACACCCTGCTCGGGGGTTCAATCCTAGTAAGTTATAACCAGCATCATGGTTCCGAGGGAGCTACCCCTGGTACCCCAAATGCAAGGGCTGCTGATCGACAGTTTTGTGTTTTGGATTTCAGGCTAATTAGCGGTGGAGACGCCGAGCTTCAGCCAGGTATCCAGTCACGCACACGTCCTGCGCCGGCGCGGCTTCCCATCAAGCTCAACCAGCATAGGATGCCCAATATGCCAGATCCAATTTGAGACAACCCTGACTTTACACCACTTCCTGGAAGTTCTCCTGCAGTCTCGCTCGCTGGGTTCCTGGATCTCAAACTGTTTGTGTTTGAACCATGCTAGGTTTGCACTTTTGTGAGCCCATTCACTGAAGTGAGTAGCCGTGATCTTTTTGCACTTGTTCCAACAGGACCTCAGGCTTCAAGGCACCTTGTACCTTGACGCCTTCTAGTTTTCAAACACCATCGACTCAAAGCAAACTTGGACCCTTTGGGCTGCTGGTTTTGAATCGAAGCGCACGTGTTTCCCCTTTTTCCAGGTCAGGGAGTTTCTCATAGAGAAAGGCTTTCCTCCGAGAGGCTTGGGCGGTGACTTTGTTGTTCCCGGGAGCTCTCGCCTTCCTATGTCGGCTCGTCTGGTTATTTGCTTAGGAACTCCCTTTTGGTTGGATTGGAAGGGACGCCACAAAGAAGCACTGGCCAGTTTGTGGAGTCACCCATTTTGACAACTTCGTATTGTGAGGAGCTCTCAGGAATACATTTGAGCTCGAGCCACCAATTAACAGGGCAATTGTTTGGATGTCTCTGGACCAAAATCGAGGGAGTCCCTTTTGAATGGGACACCCCTTATAAATCAACCAGGGGTTGACAAACCATTGGATTCCCATTATTTGGATCCTTTAACACGTGTACCCTCCTCACTGACAGCCCGGACCGGCCCCACCCCATCAGCGTATATGTATTGTTACTTTAGATTATGCAGTTGAAGCCGACTAAACATTTGTTCTGCATGCTGCTGGCAACAAAAAACAGACATTGCGACTCCTATGTTGGCAAAAGCTGCGCGTCAGGAAGTCCCCCAAACAAAGGGTGAGCATTGAACTCTTCATGTTGCTCCAGAGCGGTTTTCGCAGAGAGGTCTCAGTGCAATGGGCCACCGGCTTTTGAGCTCAAGACTGTTTCCAGCGGCCTTGCTTGTTTAATCACAATTAGTCATGGCAACCCAACAAACAAATAATCCATGGCCAGGTTCTTGGCACAACATTGGGGTGACTCGTAGAGGGCTCGCTGAGTTTTTGTTCCCTTAGAGGTGTCATACATGACACTGCTGAGTCAAGGGCCTTCAGCGAGCTGCATCTAGGCGATCACTCGCACGCGAAATGCCCCGTGGGCCCCAGGTAGGCACAAGAAGGTTGCTGCATGAGCCGCAACCTGTGGCACCTTTGGACTGGCATGTGTTCAAGGCATCACTAAGTCCATCAAGACTCCACAGAACATCCATACGCACAAACAACCAAAAACACATCCAGCAACGGTACACAGATAAACAAACAAGTTGGCCTACACCCGTTAAACATGCAGTACCCTTCCTTGTCGAGACCATCGACCCGACTTTTGTCGACATTTGCAGGTCTGGCGCATCCTATCAATTTCCCGGATGCGTCTTGGCTTGCTAAATTGGAACGGCACATGATCAGGCGAGGGACAACACATTTCGGCAAACGGATTGAGTGAAAAACTGAATCTTCGCCACCAGTTGCGTTGCGAGCGCACTTCGGACAGTTTCAGTTTTATGCCGAGCTGCCAAACATCATGACAGGCCAGTTTTCCTAGCTATTGAATGCTCCAGCGTGGTGTTGTGTGGGTCCGTGGGTTCCTGATGTATCAAACATGTTCTTCACGTTGCACTCTTCCCGTCACAGTCATGACCATGAGCAACTATAGCAACTCAAAGATTATGCACTGGTAAGCTCATGTGTGGGACGTCGTCCTATTTCTGTGTGTTTCTTTGTTTACGTCGGCCCAAAGGGAAGCAACAGGAAAGCCACATTTTGCCAGGCCCCCATTTTCTCCCATACCATTTGGAGGTAAACACCATGGCGCCCAGGTCTTCGAGAATTTGATGTCGGCCAGGGTGAAGGTGGAGGAATCAGGCGGTCGAAAGAGCATGTGTCAGCCGGGTGAAGACAAGAACAGGGACCTGCGGGGATTGCTTATATTTCGTGTTTGGATGTTGCTCAAAGGTCAGGCTTCCTAGAATGGCTTCATCGCAAATACCAACCAACATGGGGGTCCACCAATTTTCGAGAAGCTTCTATGGTATGGGTGTGGCAAGCTGGAATCCCCTCACCGATATAGTAGCAGGGATGGTATACATGGTTGCCTACGCTGCAAACAACTTCATGACTTTCTTGAGCTCCATCCTGGAAAACCGTTGTTAGTGTGTTAGTCGGACCTTAGACGCAGGCAGCGGCACATCTTAAGGCGTCACATTGCAAATCAATATGCAGATAGTTATATCTATGTACATATTTTTTACACATGCTACATGCCTTCAGATTTATGTTAATAGTTACTTCTACAAAAGCGTGAATTTTTTTTCTGTATGTGAATGTACGTCTTGTACGTCCCTTATTATTGATGGTTTAAACCTTACCTCTTGGATGACTTTCACTTGAGCATCTTCGGAAGGGGTTGATGTTTGAGGCACGCCCAGACCTCCAGAGGTGCCCCTTCCTTGTTTTTTGGACGGGTGGCTGTGTTTCCATTGGCCACTGGAGGTCCGGGTTTCGGGTGAGAGGCCTTTTGGACTCCGTGGGCTTACCTTTCGAGCTCCGCGCCGCTGCCAAAGCGGCGGCTGATGCTGGCGCGGGGCGGCCCAGAGTCGCTGGGAGTCAGGTGGTTGTCATCGGACTCGGTGGGAATTGGTTACTCGCTTTTCAGAGCCGGATTTTCAGTTGATTCAGGCATAGGCACTTGTTGCCAGTTCTTTATGGGCTCAGTACTCGCCTTTGCCAGCAGATTTGGTGAGGTGCATCCCTGGTTGACATATATGTTTGACTGCTGCGGCCAGTCAACTCAGCATGTCGGGGGCATCCGCAGGTGTTGTGACTGCTCCCGCCGCTTTGTCCAAAGCCGATCTGGTGAACTTGGCTTCTCCGGCTTTGGTCATCAGAAGCTGAAACCAAAACGCAACTTTTTGTCCTCCAAGCTGGGTGAACAAACTTCACTACACACCGGCGAGGACTTGTTTAACATGAATCATGAACATGTGATTGTTCGGCGTGGTTTTCTTTGTACTGCCTGCAGGAGGCGCAGCTGGAATTGCCAGCCTAGGGTGAAGCAAAGTGTTTGGGGATACCGATGTCTTTTCTGGGGTGGACTTAGGATACATTTTACATTTTGCCAGTGACTCAAAGGGAAGCAAACAATAGATAGAATATGCATTCTATATTTGGGCCTAAGTCTAATCATGTTTTCACCTCAGCCTGGAGGCTTCGATGGTTGCTCCTTGATCGCCATTCCTAGGGATCAAATCGCAAGGCTAGGCAATTGGAGTCACTTCTTTGGTTTCCCTCGGCCCAAAGGTCGAACTTCGAATGGGAGCCACCCAGGAGCTTTGGCAACACGCACTGAGGCGGACTCCAAAGGCACAGCGACTTCTCGACTTCGGATTGCGCAGGATTGCGCAGCAGGATTGTCAATCCAGATCACCGGCTTTTGTTTTACACGAGTCAGCAACAGTTTGCTTGAAGGTACACCTTGGGTTTATCAATAAGGCCACTTGGTTTGGGAATGCCTCGGTGTAGTTTGGAGACTTCCGGTATTTGGGCCAGATGTTTGTCGTTTGCCATCCCAGGACATGCCGCCACGGTGCTTGGGAATGTGCATTCGTGCTTCTTGTTTGAAGCGATGAAACGTGATACTGAACCGGAACTGATGTGCACGGAGCAGATGGTCTCCGTAAGCAGCCATGTTTGTTAGTGTTTGCATTTTACCTCCAAAGGAAACCGAAAGGATTTTGTGCTTTGTTTATTGTTGGTTTCCTCCTGACCCCACCCACGGTCTTCTAGGGGTACCTTCCCCATTCTTTCGAGGGATCCTTCTTTCTAGAAAACCTCCGGAGACCCAGGGAGAACGGCCAGATTTTGGAAAAAACGATGGTCGAAAAGAATGGGGAATCAACCTCTAGAGGTCTACTTGAATCCTTACTTGTTTTAACACGCCAGCCGCTCGCAGGGGAGGCTTCCCCGCGAGGCCCTTTCGGCATGAGAGCTCGCCTCAGATGTTTGCATATGACGCAGTCAGGGGGTATGCTCAGCAAGAGCAGTTGGGAGGAATTCCCTTTACGGCAGGCCCCATGACGATCTGTTTCTATAACGGGCAGGGAACTTCATTCTATGAATATTATGAGTAGGTTCTAATCATGGTTGCAATTGGTTGGTAACTCGTTTTGCCTGGCAAGAGCAGTTGATGGTCACATCCTGCTTGAGTTGAACATCCAAGTATGCCAGCTATTCAGAAACGGCATGTGGAACTTCAAAGTCCAGCAGGCTTCCCCACATGTCCTGCTGGTGACTGGAGAACATCACCTAGGCAAATGCGGGAGCCCTCTAAAAGCACCTGGAAATCCCTGTGTCTTTATTCCCGCGGTCAATAGGGCAAACATGGCTGAAGTAGCACAACTTCTTTCGCACCCATCGCATAGGTCCTCCGGAGCGCAAGGAGGGCGAAGAAGCGGGAGATGTGTCGTGGCAGCACAGCGGGACAAGGGCCTGGGAGCTGCATCGAAGGTACACCAACTGACGCTGTCTTACCTTTGGTTTTCGTTTAAGCCACCCCAAAAGCTGACACCTTCCAAAAAGACCCCCTGTGTTCAAGCCCACTTATTGATAAGCAGATCAGACTCATGGTTACAGCTGGGGTTGTTGAGACTAGACCCTTTAGTGACAACCTGCTGAGTGGCTTGAAGGCGCAAGCAGGCCGATTTCCAGTCCAGGACCTTTTCGATTGGAAAGGTCTCTAAACAAATTTCATGATACAGGCTTTGCATTTGGCTGTGGCTCAAAATTCAACAGCTGGGGTTACGCGGGTTTAGTCATTGTGTCCATACACCAAGGTGCCATTTTGGGTACCATTCTTTGAGCCACTGCCATTTGGCCCTAACCCAGCTACAACCAGGTGTATCACCATGGCATTGCCTGCTTGACGTGGGTAGGTCCCTTGAGGAATCCCTTTGCCACATATATGGGGTCTGTCCCTTTGGTTTTCCTTTAAGTCACCCAAAAACTGGCACCCTCAGAACAGACCCCCTGTGTTCATGCAACCGAACTTCAACCTTAGTCGTTCATCCCATCAATGTAGCCCGCAGCCATCGGGTTGGCTCCCAGAAAGCCAATTGAGCCAAAGGTCCGCCTGGGTCTTTGGAGTTGCTACCGCTTTGGTCGGTTTTAAAGGGAAGCTACAAGGAACACCCGCCATTTGGGTCCCCCCAAGAATCCGAGCTTCGCTTTGAATATGATGTTTTCCGGCCTTAAGAAGGCGAGTGTCTCTTCCCCTTTCGGGGTTTGGCATTTCGAGGATTTTAGTTGGCCATTGAAACTGACCAAGGCCTTCTTGGGGTGCCCCTGTTATGGTCTCAGAAGCGGAATCTAGCTACTCTCCCAAATTGGCAGGTTGCATCAACGATACCTTTGGAGGTGGTTCCCCCCCCCCATCTCTTGAAATGGGATATGAAACCCCAACCGGGTGCTTTCCTTTCGGATGTCCCCTTAAAGCAACCCCAGAGTACCATCGACAGCAAAAACGATGCCACCTGGTGCTTTCAGTGCTAGGATTGCCCGGTCAAGGCCATGGAGGGAAGGCACCTTCTGGATAAGTCCTGTAAGCTGAAGAAGCGGTGTAAGGTGCACATAGCAAAACGCCCTGGAGCTGGCTTCACAGAGAGCTGCGCCATCAATTTCTCGTTGTTGGAAAACCAGTCTGTGGCGTTCCATTTGGCTTCTGAACAGGATTTGCCACTGGGGGGCGCTCCCCATATTCTTTGCACCACTCCTTGCCAGCCGGGCTGGTGATCCTAAGATATTCCCTTAGGCTCAGAGGCCCGGTTCATGATTGCCAAAGCGAAATATGGCTTGTCTCCAGTTTTCGTCAGGTTCCCCTTGCAGATCGGCTTCCTCGCGTTTTACACGGGTCCCATAAAAGGAGCCAGCCTCATTTCCACCCCGGAGTAATAGGAGGCAGCATTGTTTCCCCCAAAGTGAAGGATTACCTTGGAATTGCACACCTCCATATCAACAAGGCATTTCTTCTTCCGCCGGGTGCACTTTGAAGAGGCACCTTTTGCCCCTAGGTCAGCTACTGGGTGCAAAAATAGCCCATGAAAAATAGAACGACAGGGACGCCAGGTGGGTTACGACCAACTCAGCACCTAAAATTAAAGCGATGGGTTTGCGCCTGCCAGCTGGGCATCGCGGAGAACTTCGGAGTGGGGGGCGCCTTTGCCAAGTGGGGCGCCGTCGGGAACCCCAGGCGGGGCCGGCGGCTTTCAGGCGCTGCCCAGTCGGTCGGTCGTCCAGGGATGGACAAGTTTCAGCATAAACCGAGAGGATCCCGAGCCCATTCCCTGAAGACGGTGTTGCGTTTTTAGGGCCTCAGTTGGCGGAAACCATGGAGGCCTTGAGGGGGATGGTTGGAAGGAGTGCTTTGGAGACAAACATCGACCAGATCACTATGCCTCTGGCCAGAGTCGTGGATTGCAACAGAGAAACATCGCAAGGAACCCTGCTTCAGCAGGGAAAACACGAGAAGACAGCGGGTGCCAGTTATGAGATATTGGTCGGAAGCTCAAACAATCCGCCAAACAATTAATTACAATTCACCTTGTTTGCACCGAACGACTTGACAGCTTTCGCGACATGACCCACTCAGGTGCCAGTGAACCCTAGGAGCTTCTTTCAGCTGCTGAAGCGGAACGAGGCAAGTGCGGGGGGTTGCGCTCTTGTTCACGTCGGGCTTGGTCTTGGGCCTGTTTCTCAAATGGACTCCTCTTGAATGTGACACCCGATCAACAAAAACCAGGAGGTTATTTGTCTTGTTGGTGCTCAGTAGGGCAGAACCCAGGGTGTTGGGAAGAATCCGGAAGGGAATTCCCTTAAAGGAAAACATAGGGGATGGTTTTTAGGGGTCGTTCCAGTTATCATTCCCTGCCCATCGAACCAGCAAGTAGTCCTGGGTCAAGATTCGGTTTTATTTTCCGGCTGGACTGAAGTCAAGGCTGGCCGGGGGCGTCCACAAACGAGGTGGTCGGCCTCATATTTGATACGCCAAGGTGGCGTTCAGTCAACATGGCTCTGGCAGAGAGGCCGTTTCAAGTTAAAACTGTCGTCTTCTGAAAGCCTTCTGTCAGCTTCCAGGGATGTTGGAAAGACTCGGATCGAGTGATTGCCACGTGAAAGGCAAAGACTGGGCTGTTCAAAGCCTTCGAGCCCAATCATTCCCCTGGGGTACGGCAAAGATTTGTCCTTTTTTTGCTGTGTTTGCCCCTGGGAAACATGGTATAAATCAGATTGAACTTCCAACCCACCCCCCCACTTATCTCCAACCCAGAAACATCAAGGTCATGCTCAATCTTGCTTGGATGACTACCTAGGGCGACCTAAGGTTACCAACAGGTCATGTCATAATCAAGCTTGAAACCTACTTACGGACACAATCGCCAGGCAGATGTCGCCGAATCCCGATCGCGGCTCTAGACGTGCCAGACTCGGTCTGGCCTTCCATTTGTCTGTAAATCATGCCTCGCCTTTCCGCGGCGATCGCCGCGTATGCAGCATGTGCCATCCGCGTCCTGGCTATCGACATCGCCGTGTCCGCTGATGGGCAGGTGGAGCTGTCCAAGGACTGCTGGAAGCTTCGCTGGGGTTCCTACCCTCACTTGCCCAAAGCGTTTCTTCCCCCCCCCCCCGATTTGTTTTTGACCTTAGTTTTTGATGGTGCCAAAAGGTCATCATGTTTGATTCCTGGGTCCTATCTGGGGTAATTGAACACCAGACCCCAGAAAGTAAAGCATTGTTTCTGGCAGATCACCTTTTTGTCTTTGTGCCTTGTTTTGCATAGTGTCTCTGACAGTTTTGCTCTTGAGGTGATTGGCTGCCTATTGGTTCCTTTGCCCGGAACTGGAGCGTCATTGTTAATAGTTTGCACTGGCTTGAAGACATATTGGTCTATGAATTTTAATGGGGAACTCCCTGAAAAGTGCTTGGTGGACTTCAATTGCGTTGGCTGACACGGGGTGTGGGCAGTCGATGGGCCCTAGCCCATCAGGAAGACATCGACAGACAGGACTACCAGGCTGGCGCTGTCATAATATGCCTAGATCCTAGTGATTCCTAGTGTTTTTCTATCCTTTGGCCCCAAATCCAAGCCCACAGTTCGCGAAGAGGGGGGTAATAATATGCACCCACATGCAATTGCAATAGAACATTGAGCAAATTTGTATTCGTTCTGCTCTGTTTCACGCATGGACAAAAACTGGTTTGGGAACATGCCCAAGGCTTTTGGTTGTGCTTGCACAAGTGGGCTCCAGAGCTGCAGATGAGGAGTCATTCCAATAAATTCAAGTGAGTTGGGGTTCACGACGCGACGTCCAAGGTATCGCCGGCAGGGGTGCTTGAACCTCCGCATTTGAATGGTTTGACATGTGCATGGAACAAGCTGAAACCTTGGTGCATGGGCAGTTTGCCACACACACATATGCACCTATGCCCACATATGTATACATATATCTACATACATATCTACATACATGTGCATATATATATATATATATATATATGTGCATGCACGGATGTGTCTGTTGACATGTTCCACTGTGGGACGCTGCAAGCCACCGTCTTTTAGCCGGCTTAGCTTCAGGAGCCATAGGATTGCTTCGGTAGGGTTGAGCCACTCGCCCAGTTTGCAGCCCGCAGCTTGCCGACTGCCTGTCCTACTCCAAGAGAAGGTTCTCAGAACCGTTTAGGTGCAATTTGTTGGGATACCAATTGGAAAACTGCATTTTTTGCAGGACATCTAACATAGACATGCAGAAAACAATGTATCTAAGAGATCCTTCCTTAGGCCTGTGGTAGATCAGTGGTTGGCAAGTTGCCTGTCGATTTACATTCCCGGTCTTTACCTGTCAAGCTTGCACAGGACTTTCGCGCGAAGCACCGCAAGGACCAGACTGAGGACCGCGAGTTGAGCGCATTTGGATCCCAAGTCCCTAAGCCTTGCACCCGGTTTTCCGCATAAGTCTTACCCGTGGTTTGGGAAACACGGGAATGGGAGACGTCCTACGAAGCTCACTCTGAGATGTACATGTCCGTTGCCAGAATCGGCTTCTATGGCTTGCCTTTGGTTTCCCACATGCATGCCGCAATTTGAATGACCAATATGGTCCAGCCGAATTGAGCCTGCGGCCCTTTGACATGTAAGGCATCGGCATGAAGTTGCCATTCTTGCGTTTGCTAGGATGCCTTGAGCTATGGTGAGCGCTTTCAGCTCTACCGCGAGCGCAAGGCCTTTGTGGACAAGCACAATGCCAGGAACGGCAGCTCGACGTTAAGGGCCAAACGCAGGCAGCTGCCCCTGAAAGGTACCATAAAGGCCCAACTGCATAGGTGCCGGTGTCGTGTACGTAGCAGGTTGTATCACCACAACTGGTCCAGAGGGCGTAGTTGCCAAAAACGTATTGACTGTTTGACACATACATTTCTACCTTTTGGATCCAAATCCGACTTCATGCACAATGCAATGGTGAAAGGACCTGGTTCGTGGGGTTGCTCGGTATCAACTGGTCAACCACTGGTATGGAGTGTCTAATGCGGTGCATTTGGTTTCTGGCTCGCTCCTACTGCCAGAACAGGATGGTCCCATGGTGCATGTGGGTATGTGTCAAAATGGGGGGAGCTTCAGAATTGGGAGATTTCCCGTTCAGCCTTAAGAACAGCACTACAAATGCAAACACACATTTGGTCGCTTCAGGGAGTTGGCATGTTTTTCAGCGCTGCCCGCAATTGCCATGGATTGAAAGTCTGGGCGCCAGACTGACCGCACACATGGAGCAGATGAGCCTAGCACATTAATGAATAGATTGCCTCCATGCAAATGGATCGCACGTTTAAAATATTCACATGAAACATTGTGCAGTCCAGTGCTTTCAGATGCTTCGCTCAGCTTTCATTTAGGACCCAATCTCGCAGCATCCCACCAGTCCCACCAGCAATGGGTTCTGCAGCTTGACCGGCAGTGAGACGGCTTTTTCCCGTCCGACCCATGGCGAGCCGGGATTTCCCACGCATCAAAGAGGTGAGGGCGTATGTGTCCAAGAGCGATGACAAGCAGCACGTGCAGGGTGCGGACTGCCATGATGTGGCAGACCGGCATTGGATCAACGGCAACTTGCCCTGCGATGGCGAGATGCTCCCGATTGCAAACCCCATGCTTCTAGGCTGCACAGATGTTCCAGCCCGTTTGGCAGTAGAACAGTCACCCATGTTGAAGCACATTTGGGGATCTGTGATTCCAGCTCATGGAGCCGTACTTATTGCGCAGCAAAAACCACAAAGATGGGGTACCTCTATGTACTTCTGACCATCAGCCTTTTGTTCCATGCGAAGGAAGTGGCGCCTGCGAACAGGGTGGCTGATGTAGTCGTTTTAGATGTTTGCCCCTTGCAACGCACCTGCCCATCAGTTTAGATGCATACTGCTGAACAACTCTTGTGTTGCACTTCCAGGGGGCCCTGACAGTCATATCTTTGGGGAAGACCATTTCATTGGCAAACAGGCTTGGATGTCTTGGGCCAGCTCCACTCAGGAAGGGAGGTGCAGGGGACGCTTGGCCCCCTGGTTTGCTTGGTTTGCGTTTCGCTCTCAGTTTCTGGTGGTGGTAGTGACGGGCATTCGTGAGTCCCAAATTGAGGCCCCGGAAAGGCACCCGCCCCCCTCTGGTCAGATGCCCTCCTTGCAGTTGCTCCGGAGTTGGAGCACTCGCACTCAGTGACTTGGAATCCAAAAGGCCCTCAAAATGTTTTTATTCAGGGAACGTTGCTTTTCCATGCTTCGTGGAGTATTGGTTGACCTTCCATTGAACCCCTAGATATATCGGTTGCAACCACAGGCCTCTACCGACTGGCAGGTCGGTGCACCCTCCCTACAAGCGTTTCCGGAAGTCCTGGGGCATAAACGCCATGGGCAGCATGGTGGTGGAGGTGGGGTCCCAAGCAAGAGGACTCGATGCAGGGTCCCAAGGAGGCACTTGGGCTTGAACATCACCTGCACCGGTCGACTTAGATATCCCAGCACAGCAGCTGGTTTTTTGGATGTATGTTTCAGGAGCCCTGTATTGGGGTGGATCTTGAACTTGTGTGTTTCAGAAGAGTGTGTCTTGTCGATATTAAAATCTATATAATATAAGTAATAAATACAGCAGGTTTTACCTCCTTTTTAGTTTTGTTTGATTTGGGGCGGGCACACCAAGTCGGGGTATAGAAGGCGTTGGCCGTTCAACGGGCGTCAGTTTGCGGCCCATGCGCGTCGGCCTCTAGTTGTTTTTCTCTTCCCATTGTTGTACATTCGTAATGCACATATCCCGGGAGCACTGAAGGGAAAGCCGATTAGTAAGTCGGTGCTAGCCATGGCCTCAGAGGACTACCCAATGTCTCAACGTTAGCTTCAATTTGCCAAAATGCCATAGATGAATTCCCTCAAACCGTTTTAAGTCCTAATTCGTCACTAAAGGGGGGCACCACCCTGAATCAGTACCGTCCTGCGCCCGAATCCGAAGCTGACATTGCTGAGTGGGTTGACCTCATGCAGGTAGAGGCGGATGATGGGACCTGCGGGGTGGGCGTCACCATCGGCGGAGAGCCTGGGTGCTATATCGTGGAGCACCACCTGAGCCGATTTTGCGAGGGACAGGACTGCTTGGGGCTG